TTGATAACGTCATGGTGAGTTAAGCACAAAATAACGCGCTTGGACTGAAACATACAGGCCGCCAATTAGAAAGAATACGCTCAAACTCTTAGAGTCGAATTTCTACTGTATTTTCGGGAAGAAGCTATTCTAATTTTTTTCCTTTGGCAAGTAAATTAGGGGACGACTGGAAAGGGGGCTCCTGATCCCGCATTCCCGATCCTTATTCACCAGAATCCCGCATCCCGAACTTCATTGCTATCCCAAATATCGTTTCTTTCCAAACGCTGCATCCCTAGCCTGTGTACAGACCCCCCTCCCCTAAAAAAATCGATTTTTTCTGATGGGAGGGGGGGGGGGTCTGTACACCGGCTACCGCATCCCGTGCCCAAATTTTCGCGAATCCCGTTTCCCGGGTAGCAGTCAAATCCCGTGGCAGTTAACGTTTCCCGAATTCCGCCCCGTAGTTTGGTCAAATCTCGGATCCCAGGAACACACTTCCGGATCCGGGTAAATGTTGTTGAATAACGTTACAACGCTTATTTCGTTCCCTTATAGCCAACTGTGCCCCCAATAGTCCGAGCACCACCACAGATCTCACCGACATCAGGACCATGTGACTCCAGTCCGTGTCATAACGGTGGCACATGTATTGAGAGCGCCAATACCTTCAGTTGCACCTGCACTGAAAGCTTTACAGGGGATGGATGCGAGAATCTAAAGTGTAAGTAACAGGCCTTATTCCTCGATATTACTATTCGCAAAGCAAGATATAGGTTTTCAAACACACTGATTACTCTCTAAGGAACGCGCTAGCTGTCAATCTCAGAGAGATGTTATTTTCACCATTGGTAAAGACATTTGCAAAACTGCAGAATTGAAAACTCGATAGACCTTACGAAGAGTTTGCCACTTAATAGATATCAGCAATTTCCAAAGAATATTTTTATACGACATATGACTTCCTGTTAATTTGTTTATTTACCTTAAAGTAGTTAGTGGCTATCTCTAAAGCAGACCACAATCATCTAATTGTATCAATAACTGTGTTTTACATTTGATCTTGTGTCATTTTGAAACAATCCGAGGTTTTTTTTGCAATCCTGCCTTTCCCACCTTCCTTTTGTTTAACTAGCACTCCCCAGAGCCGGAGGATGGTGATTTGTTTTCTATTTTTTTTTCTGCGTTGTAGCAAGTTCTGTTACACCCGCGGCCCCAAGTGACCATGATTTTGAACTTGTGTACCGTAGTGCAAACATTACAAACTATGCTAGACAGTTTTTATCGCATGTCTGGGTAGACAAGTTGACTGTGTGTAGCTGGGTGCACACGCCGGACATAGGTACAAGCCAGCAGATGGCAGTTTGGAGCTTAAGGACAGAGCAAAATGGGAATAAAAACAGCCTCACCGCACTCATTGACGGAAATCGTGGCTTCTACTTATCGTGGGATACCCAATGGTAAGTGAGTTTGGTGGGGATTCCTCTTGAAGCGAGATGGGGATGCTCGTCCTCGCGCTTAAGAGTGTCAGAACTTATTGAAGATTTTACTCTCACTTAGGGTGATTCGGACTGAAAAGCAATATTTTAAAGTTCGTACCTAACATTTAGGGTTGTGTTTCAAATGAATAAATTAAAGAAAGCAGAGAAAGAAAAGAATTAGGAAGTATTCTATGACAAATTCTGTATCAGCATTAAAATTACTACAGCTATTATTAAGCTTAGTCTGTTTTATAATGGTTTATTTTTAGGTGTAAAAATAAAACCTCAACCAACTTGCTTTCCTTTAGGTCCTATAGGTATTAGTACACCCTCCCCCCCCCCCTTAGTTCTCCGTCGTGCGACACCGCCCCTCTCAGTTCGGAACAATTACCGCTCGTGCGGTTTTTGTCAAAATCTGGCGATAAGCACTTTCTAAACATAGCATTGCTGAAATGGTAATTCAAAAGGTTTTGCCGGTTTTTCAGACTTTTCAGAGGCATAATTTAGTTTTCCTATATGTGTTGCAGACTTTCTTCAACTTTCTTATCTCAAGAGTTGTCGTCTTAGTTTTTACAGAGTCTGGGACTTATTTGAACGGACGAACTTTTGAAAAAATCAGCACGAATCTTAAGATTTAATTTAATTTACTACAGTGGAACCCCGCCTTACGACCACCTCGTTATTACGGCCGTATTCTTTCAAACCAAACGTAAAAATCATTGAGTCATTTTATTATTTTGAAGACCCCGTGAATGCGACCACCTCGTTATTACGACCAGGATTTTATGGCCCAACGGTGGTTGCATTAACGGGGTTCCACTGTAACTCTTTTTTCAGTTTTTATGTCGCTAAGAGGCAACATATAGATCTAATATCGACACAGAATTCTGATTCGTTTTTTAAGGATTGGAGATCCAAATTTCTTTTCCACGTCACCTAAAGATGATTAGGTTTTTCTGTGCATTATCGTCAAGAAAAATAACAACGAAACTACAGTGGAAGCAATAATAAACGCAAATTACAGTAACAAGGTGACCAGCACGAACGTACTGTCTTCATTTAAAAATGTCAAGCTTACAGCACTGTTTCTCGGACAGAAATTACATGAAAATGTAAACTGGAATTTTATGGAGGGATATTCGTTCGAAGGACGATTAGCAGACGTTAATATCTGGGACTGGGAGTTACAAGAAGACCACGTTGGTAAATGGTACCGAGGTACAGGCCGAGATGAGCGACCTAGAGTCGCCTGGAACAGGCTGGGTTATCCCAGTAAGAGGTTTGGAGATGTCCACCTCGTCACCATCACCTCGGCCTTCTTTGGAAGAGGTATGTCTCGAAAAAAAAAAAAATCAGCTTTGAACTGGGCCAGAAAAGATGTCGAACCTCTTGTAGAAATGTCCCAGAAAGCCATGATGTGGTGGGTTCACTTAGGGAAGGTGTTCGCTTTCGAGAGTCGATCCACACGTGTATCGCCAAGGAGAAGGTTTCAGGTCGCATGTTTGAAGGAAATTTGTTGCATAAAAAGTTTGAGTTACAGTACGTTTAGTGCCATGTCAGGTCAATAGGACTTCCTTGTACACTTTGAATGGTGTAGCAGATACAAGAAAAATAGAGATCAGACCACTCTGTCCGAATTGCCCGGTGGGGGGAGACTCCCATATAAAAGTGACGGGGATGCTCGTCGTCTCGCTTTGGGGTGTAGATTGCAGATTTTGGTCTCATTTGGGGTGTTTGGGATGGAAAGTTACTATATTTCCCCATTCAGGTATCCCTTAGTACTGTGTATAAAGAAAGTTACAAAAAATGCCCTGACACTGACCACACAAAAATCTCCCTTAGGGGTCAGTTTAAGCTTGAGCCACACCCACATTGGTTTAAAAATAATCGTCAGTTATAACACCATCTCCCCAAAACTTGGTTGCGGTGGTTTACGAGATATTCCATCAATAATGCCTGGACTAGTTTGGGTAGGTGGTGGGAAATGAAGCATTTGTTTGAAGACCTATGTTAGAAAAATCTTAAATTACTTGTATTTTTCATTTCATTAGAGTAGGAATATTAAAACGTTTCAAGAACGTTACTGAGTTGCGACAGACTTAATCAAAAATCATCCTGTTTCTTTTTTTTATATATAGCTGTGAGATGAACCAAGTATGTCAATCAATTAAGTTTGGCTGACTTGATTTTTGAGGGAGTGGGCTAAAAAAAACGTCTTAAATTATAAGACTAAACATTATGGATAAGAAGCATTTCAACGTTTTGTTTACAGCTTGGCGAAAGGTACAAAACTTTGATGAACTTGTAATAAACAAGACAAGCAATGTTGAGATAGAAAAAGCTGAGCAGAAGGACGAAAATGGTAATGTGGTCAGTCTTGAAGTGCAAATATCAATCTCCACGGTAACAGAGTGCTCGGATGAAAACACTGCCCCAGTTGATGCCGTGTTTATCATGGTACCAGGGAACTGGAGACGAATTAAATTCAAGCAGGTTTTTAAAAAAACCCAGCGCTGCTACGCTCTCTTTGGAAGCGTTCCTACTTGGTAAGAATTCACTTTTTTGCTAATATCCCTCAGCAATACAGTGAAACCCCACAATTGGCCATTTTTGGTTGCGCGAGAGACTGTGCCGGTGCTGCGTCGAAATACACTATGGGACTGGTTGAGGGAAGCTACTGCCTCTTTAATCGGACATTGCAAGGTTGCACAGGATTCTAGGTCAAAATTAGTCGGCAGTCAAAACAGTTCAAAAATATTTCCGTGGTGCAATTCAACAAAGCATCGACCCAGCCTTTCCTTGCAACCTCGCAATGGCCAATAAGGCAACACACGGGAATAACACTAAGTTGTTGTGACCGTATATTTATGGCCCAAACGAAGGTCTGGATTTCTTCCTGTTCTACAACCTCGTTAATACGAGCACCCTTTCAGTACGACCGGTCACCACCCTTTGAGATTCTCAGTGGACCCTTCACTATTACAGCGCCTTTAATATGACCACCAGGGTGTCTGTTGATCCTGAATGACAAATGAGAGGCAATCAACCGGACAAACCAGAACCTGCTCTTTGCTGTTACTTTTGTTAAGTCATGAAAAGTGTGTAATTGAACGAGTGATATGTGTGATATCCAGCGGGGTCTAGCAGATCAATACAGTAAATTCTTCCTTTTTTAAGACGGACACCATAGGGAACGATACTAAGTGTCCGTATTAGAGAGATGTCTGTCTTAAAGAGAGTCAAGTAAGAGAGTAAAGAAAGGCAGGGATGAACTCTCAACTCTAGGTCCGTTTCCCAGAGGTTCTGCTTATAGAGGTGTCCGTTTGGAGAGTCGCCTGTTTCAGACGAAAAGCGTAACATACAGACCAAAAGCACAAAGCAGCTCGTTTATGGTACTACAGATAAACCTGTCATAGGCGGCCCCATACTACAGACATATACGTCAATGGAAGGCCACGTCTTTTTGCCGCCATCTATCTCCCCTCCTTCAGAGGCCTCTCTAATAACTGAGTTTTCTTCCTCTACAGGGCCCCTCCAACCCTTACGAATCCTGGAATTCATGAATTCGATCCTAACCAAGACGAAATTTGGCAAGATAACTACGTTGGAGACCTGTATGGTAACTGAATTCTTTTCCTAACGTGGTACATATAAGGAAGGTAGAGTTGTAGCTGCATTACCAGTTGTGTGCAGTATACGCTGTGTTTAAAATACTTTGCGAATAATATACCTGTGACGCAAAAATGATATCTTGCAAGCAAGATTATTTTATTACTATATCGAACTATAGGATTTGGTGCAACTGGAAAGATGCCACTTAATATTTAGAAGATTTCATTTTCACTCCAAAACAACAAAAGCATATTTTGGCAGCGTATACAAAAGATAAAACGTATTGAAAAGAACTTTATTTTTGGTTATAGTCGGTCAGTTCAGAGAAGCTATTAGTTTGTGTGGCGAGGATCATTTCTGGACAGGAAATCAGGACGGCCAAGAAAAAGCGAGAGCTAACCTCAGGCGAAAAATAGATGCAACCACGGCAGGGATTTCTACCTATGGAAAGTGCGGAAGGTTTCATTTTGTTATAAAGGCGATCGAGGTCTTGGAAACACAATGAAAAGCCCTTTAAATTAGTTTACCATTTCAAGTCCCAAAGGCCACGCCCAACTAACAACGATCGATGTTGTTCTATCATTGCTGCAAGAAAATCGGGAAGTTGATCGTATGCCTTTACTGTAAAGAACGCTGCGTCTTTTTTCTGCACGTTTGCAAGTCACAGAGAAGTTTTGGGATTTTTACACTTCAAGCATACTATTTCTCTTCAATGTTCTGTGTACACTTTTCCTATGGTACTGACAGACCCTCCGTTACGCATAAGGCCTCCACATTTCAACCTTTTCACTAAAGTAAGCAATGTTATTTTAAGCGAGGAGAAATCATATACTAGGTACTCCTGGAGTTGAAACATTATCGACTTATCAAGGAATGTGCTCCAAATGAAAAAGAATTTTTTTCCGTTAGTATGGATATTCTGGAAAAGTGGATTATCATTAGCAAGTGCTAATGCTATACGCAAAGGAGAAAAACGGTGCTGTTCTTGATCTTGAAGCTTTTTCTTATCTTCACGACCTCAGTTTATTATTTCTGTTATTGATGCTGTTCTCTGTATATGTTTTACAAACCCTTCACAGATGATTCGGTTTGCAACATTTCCTCCAACGTTCTTTAAGCATATATCCGGCTTTTCTAGAATGCAACGTAGATCTATTAAAAAGGTTGGTCATTGAACTGATAAAATGAATTTTGAAAATGTTGAAAAGGATTTCAAACAGATTTGATTAAAGCGTTTACCCTTTTGTTCTACTTCTCCAATAAACAGGCCTTTTAATATAAATGGCTGAACTCGGATTTGTAGATAAACTGGGTAACTGGATGCTACAATGGACATGTAACACGTCCCCTAATTTTTTTTGTTGTTTAGCGTAATAGAAAGTGAAAATAGTGTTTGAGTCGCTTGGAAAGAATTTCATTACCATATTTCTTCTCTTAAATGTTTCAAAGTAGCTGATCATGAGTTCGATTCTTTCGCAGTTGTGCCGGACCTTTCTTGCTTTAGAACGCTGCAGGTATTATAAGGAAAAGTTAAAAAAAACAATACTACCGAACTACTTTACCTAAAAAAGCATTCAGTTGTTTTAAATATCAAATATTTAAAAAGATAACGTTCTCTTGCAAATAATAACGTTCTTATTCCTCCTAAAAAGGAGCTACCCTGTACGTCCTAGAAAACTTTACCAGTTTTGAACATAATTGTTCCAAAGTGAGGGTATTGAGGTTCATAGCATACCAAAAGTACACAATTTTCTTTTTACTGTTCATTAAGAGTTTTTTAAAAAAGTATTCAGAAAAGTCGTTTCCTGGTACGGAGGTAATCAACAAAGTTTTATACAGGGAGGCTTTACCCCATGGTTCAACTGCTTACCCTTTTAGATACCATTTTTGATGACAAACTGGTACCCTGTCACTTAATCTTCTTACGAACACTGCACACCGTAGCTAAACTTTTGGAATGGAGTTTCTGAACATCAAGTGGTAGCTCCAAAATTATTACTTATCCTTGCTGGTCTATGAAAGGTGAGGTTGGTGACAAATATGGTGTTAAAGCTATGGATTTCGGAGGCTAAGATAAGGGTTTTAGAGAATATGACCTGAAACCGGGATGTTTGATGAGTGCGACATTTGTAAATTTATATGTAAATAGGGGTACTTTGAATTTGTTGATGTTTTTAAGTGTAAGAATTTCTAAAAGATTGAAGTATGGCATAGTTTTATCCCTGTTATGAAATAACATGCTACAAAACACATTTATCCTGATAAGGTTTAATCTTTTTTAACCTGTTCTTACAAGCACTGCCCCAGCATGTAATGCCATAAGTCACTTGTAAGTTTTATATGGATAAAAGTAGGAGTTATCCAAGTGCCTTTAAGTATGAAGATCTACATAATCATGGATTAATAATTCAGTCCTACATGTTTACTAGTTTGTCGTTAGTGTGTTGAATACGAGGCTCTTAGTATAAAGTTTGATCAGTATATCATACACCTTGTATTTACTCAGTAAAGATCTCCTATAGAGAGAGGCGAATCACTTGAATCGGATTTTTTTCCTCTGCCAGATTTCTGCGATTTTGCTGAGAATACTTCATCAGAACTGTGAAATGCAATTTTCCTCTCACGAGATTTTAAGCAAGAAGAGTCACCGTCATCATGATCATCACCAGTATCATTACTTCCCGCAGAGAGTAACGGCAGGCATCTGAAAGCAGCGGTGTACTCTTGAAGAGCTTGTGCATGGAAGCGCATCTCCGCGAGGAGGAAGTCAGCCAACACACGATTAAAATCTTCCAGTTTTTTTCTCTCAAAATGAAGCATTTCCACTTTGATATCTTCCTCACAACGGCGTGCCTGATATTGGCTTTGCTCAAACTTAATATTGGCAGCATTGATCCTTCGGGGATCTAACGGAACTTTATTTTTCGCCTTTGCTAGATCATGAAGCCTGTGATTCTTCTTCCGTAAAGCATCTTCACAAATCTTAACACTTTTCCTCATTTCTTGACACTTCCCTTCGTAGGATAAGATATCAGCTGAAATTTTATCCTGAAGAACATCTTTCAACTCCGTCCGCTGCTGCTGAACTGCAGACAAGTGCATCGCGTAGTTTGATAAATGATTTTTAACTTCATCACCACTGAGTAAGTGCGAGCTGCAAGCGCCTAAGGACGAACAAAGGTTTTCTCCTTTCTGTGAGAGTTTATCGAGCCCTGCCGAGTACTTTTCAACCAAGCGCCCTACGGCTGTGAAACGCTCTTCTGTTTCATCAATGCGCTTCATATAAGGAAGCATTTCGGGAAATTTTTCACACCCCAGGGTTCGCCTTAAAATCTCAGTCACATTTGACGCCATTCTGTTAGAAAAAACAAAGACTACCCCTTTTCTTTATGTCCTCCTTATCATTTGTGACATCAGTTCAGCGCGCGCTGAAAACGCTCGCGCTATGACGCTTGAATTTAAAGGTCTTTCTGATTGCGCAACAAAAGTAATCACTTGCAGAAAATCCCGCTGAGTACAAGAACCCATAGGTGTTAAAAAAGAAAAGAAGACGACGATTTTGGGACCAACAATTTGACTTTTGGGCGGGGGTCTGGGTGATTTGCTTTGTGTAAGAATTTTTTCCCCAAACCTGTCGTGATAGAATTTTTTTCCTGACGACGGAGTAGGATTTATTCCTAGCATTATACGCCATGAAAGATATTTTTTCAGAGTAGAAATTTTATTTTGCCAGGTATTTTCTTTCAAGAATGTTTTTCCCCTCGAAATCAGTATGCAGGATAGTGTTTTCTGAAATCATCCATACCCCCCTCAAAAGTCAAGTGGTCGGCCCCTTAGCAGGTATACATCATTGTACTACTATTTAGTATACCAATTTAACTAAAGGTTTTGTAATTGTATTTCATTTTCTTGGAAAAATAGTTGTGATAATCGTTGTGTATGCAATAAGTATAAAGTTCTCGTTTACCATGACGATGTTTAAAATATAAACATGTTAAGTCGTGGATGTAAGACCTCTGGAGTAAGACCCCTGGGTGTAAGACCTCTGAATGTAAGACTCCTGTAAGACCCCCTGGTTATAAGACCCCTGGATGTAAGACCCCTGGATGTAAGCCCCTAGATGTAAGACCCCTGGATGTAAGCCCCTAGATGTGAGACCCCTGGATGTAAGCCCCTACATGTAAGACCTCTGGATGTAAGGCCCTAGATGTAAAACCCCTGGAGGTAAGCCCCTAGATGTACGACCCCTGGACGTAAGCCCCTAGATGTAAGACCCCTGGATGTAAGCCCCTAGATGTAAGACCCCTGGATGTAAGCCCCTAGATGTAAGACCCCTGGATGTAAGCCCCTAGATGTAAGAACCCTGGACGTAAGCCCCTAGATGTAAGACCTTTGGATGTAAGCCCTAGATGTACGACCCCTGGACGTAAGCCCCTAGATGTACGACCCCTGGACGTAAGCCCCTAGATGTAAGACCTCTGGATATAAGACCCCTAAATGTAAGATCTCTGGATTTAAGACCCCTGGATGTAAACTTCGCGCACCCTCTGACCACACCATTGTTTTGCTGGATAGACAGTATCCTGAGGTCTAACCAAATCAACGTTGGTGTATCGGACGTGAACCTACTTGAAGATAGCGTGAACGCCTTATTGTTTTAGGTAAACGCGAAGATGCAAACTTTGCCGCACCCTCTTGAAACCGTGTAGACCACACGTTTTTTCGGCCAGTCGACAGTATCCTTAGGTCATATCAAGTGTAATTTAGGTGGTGTATCGGACTTGAATATATATAGCATGAACGCCTTATTGTTCTAGGCAAAGGCGACGAGGCTCTTCTAGAGGCTGTTTTTATGATATCCGTTAAAAAGAAACACTGCTGATGATAGGTGTATCTCCTCCTTAGAGATAACTGAAAAAGTTATCCTGATAACTGGACTGAGATCTAGATCTAGATCTACACGTTAACTTCACGTTCCTGGATCGCAAAGTGTTTTGAAAGCTCCTTAGCCCCACAGCTAGTTACCAGCCAAGTTTTTTTATTGGAGACCGAGAATGGCAGCAAGATCGTCGGTTAAATAAAGCATAGTAGACCACTGTACGGAAAATTAATTTGCCATTTGCATGCTTTTCTGTTAGATTAAGCGTCAGTGAAATAATCTGTTTAAATGTATTTTCTCTGCATCTGGGTTTTGCACAGAGCTTTTTTTAGACGAGAACGGCGTCTTTAGATTTGACGTAAGCTCCTTGTCACGATTGAGCAGCCCCAGTCCTCACAGTTTGAAACGGGTTACTGGGTGGAGACGGCTGCCTTTCCAGACTACCATCCCTAATGACGCCTGAATTTGTGGTACTTTTAGAGTATACACTTTGTACTTATTTGAGAGAGAAAGAGGAAGAGGCCAAACAAACAACAAAAACAACAAAAACAACAATAATGAATACAAGAAACAGGAGCAACTATTCAGGATCTTTGCCATTCAGTATTAGATTTAATTTGTTGAGAACTCTAGAAGAGAAAAACAGCATTGTATCTCGTTTTTCGATCGTTTTTGCTTATATAGCACTTACTCAATGAAACAATGGCTACGATAGAAGCTAATGTCCTCTCCCGGACCCACACCGGAAAAAACCTGCAGGAAAGCACTCAACTTCTTCGCAGAAATCCATGCTGATCAACCTTTGTACACAGCATAAATTATACTTTCATTCTATCAAAAACAAATGGATAGTCAACGGATAAAAGACTTCAGACCTGTTTTTTTATGGGACTGAATTTATTAAAAACCATTATGGGACAATACTTTACAATTTATCATACACTTATTTTGTTGTCTTTCAATAAATATTATGCGGCACACAACAAATGAAAGACATTTCAAAAGGGACAACACAAAATCCAGAGACCATAAAAAGCTCTTGCACAATAATATTTTATGGTGTTTGGTATTGATTACAAAACGTTTCAATATTGCTTACAATAACTAAGTCGTTTTGATTCAAATGGATTTCTTATTTTCATTACAAATTTATTGTTTTTTGCAATGACCTTCCACTGCTACAGTGACATTACTGTTTTCAGTAAGAAATGGAAGTTAGTGTACCAACTTTACACATAGTGGATTATAGATAGAAGTTACTTGTATGAAAAAATAGTAATTCCCAAAGGAGAAATGTTAATGCTGCTGTGTATTGCTATACTATGTCTTGTTATCAACTAAGTTGCTAAAGTACATTTAGCCTCCAAACAAAGCAAATTGGGACAAATAGTATATGTAAGTGACAATATTCAAACAGAAATCCTGCTCTGCAGGCTACTGTTGTCGCTATATGCTAAGTCAACACTGAGCAATAATAATTACTAGACCATGTTTTCGAGACTCCCACGAAAATAATTAATTAAAGAATGCTAAAATAACAATTCATTATTGATCAAAAATGAACTTTGGAACCAAACCAAACCAAACCAAACCAAAGAAAGAACATTTTAAAAAGAAAGTTGCAAGGACTGATATGGTTAAACAATGGGGAAAACAATAAGTTAATTCTTTTCCAACTACAGTGAAACCCCTTTAAGACAGTTGCATAATGGGCCATAGGAATTTGGCTATATCCACAAAGATGGTGATATTTTATATCTGTACCTTTTCTATTTTCCATTTTGTGTAGGGGTGCTATTACACTACTGACATCATTAACGCATGTTGGGCTTTCTGATGAGGCCCTGTTAGGGTAAAATTCAGACAAGCAACACGGCCTTGAAACAGTGACATAAGACAGATAAAATGGCGACAATCAATATGAAGATCGGTTGAAACTATTACACAGATTTTTACATCGTAGATAGATATTTTAAAAATTGTATCCTAGTGTTTTTGTTTTCCTCTTTTCGCAATTTTTATTTGTAGCAATATCTGCAAAATAGCGATACTTGCAATACTGTAATGAGCTAAGCGTATTGGACCACATTAATGAAAGTTACTTAATTACCTACTTATGACAGCAACAACTGCAATTGCAAATACTCTGGTGAAATACCAAAAGCGACATGGGCTCCTCCTCAATATGCAAAATAACCGGTTTTGAAATTCAGACTTGGGCCATTGGCTGCATTATTGAGGAAGCATTATTAAGGGGTTTCAATGTTGGAAGAAATGTATGGGCCTTTTGCTCCAATAAAAAAGGTCATAATAAAAAGATGGCTACAAAATGAGGTGACTGGAGGGTTCCACTGTAGTTACACTACATAAGATACATCTAAGATGTAAGAGTACTCATTTAGATGACATTTTAGGCTAGTCCTTGATTGTGAAGACAGATGAGACAAAGAGCTAACTTCAAGATTTCATGGATATATATATATATACAACAAAAACAACAAACTGCCAGCAAAGGTAGCAAAAAAAAGATTTAGCTTTTATAAATAACAGTGTGTTCATAGACAAAAGCATTAAAAGCATGTCAAACACTTTGATGCAAATTACGTAATCATTAGGGCTGTGCCCTAGTAGTGTCAAGTAGCTCCTGGCAACTAACTTTTGCTCCGAGACATCTAGAAAAATATTCATTAATTTTATTGTTTCACAGAAGTCATATGCTGGGCACTCTGGATTTCACAGGTCAGAACACTGGACTCCCTTTGGGAATGGGCAGGAAGGATATGATAAATTTCTTACCAACCAAGCTTGTTCGGTCAGTTCTTTTTTTGCATTTTTACTGACCTTGACTTTCTCTTAGTCCATAAGAATGCAGAAAAGAACTTGGCCAATATCCAGCCATCTTAAGCACAAGCTTGGTCGATAACTCTACTGATGTGCACCCAGGTGTTGAACCACTGTATTTGTTTGATGAGTTACAAAAGTTGTATACTCATCCACTCGGCAGTTGAAAAGGCAATAATTCAAATGATCTTACCAGTACAGTGGAACTCTGCCTTACAGCCACCTTGGTAATATGGTCACCTCGTTATTATGCCCAACTTTTTTTGGCCGCCTGGCAAATACGACCATACATTTTCTTGTAAAGAAACCCTCATTAATACAGTCTCCTCGTTATTACGGCCTTTTTTTTTGGCCCATTGGTGACCGTATTAACGAGGTTTTACTGGAATTAACTCTTATTGGTCAATTTTGTCTCCAATCAGATCACTGTCACTTTCAAATTAATGAAGCACTTCCCCCAAACCACGCGCGAGGTATTAGGCTGTTGGTGTGGGCATTTCAAAGGATGGTCTGAGCTCCTCATTTCGCTCGTGTAAATCCATACCCTCGAAGAGAAACTCTCTCTTGTTAAACTCGTACAACTTGTCCAGTCCAAGTTTAGACCCCTCTAAAATAGACTTTACGACGTGATCAGGAACGACTCGATTTTTTCTTAGTTTTGATCTTTCAAGGACAGTCCCTAATGGCACTCGAGGTAAGCGTTTCACCCTGACATGATAACCAACGGATTTTAAACGGTGCATGTAGTCAATGAGTTCCATGTATTTCACACACGTGCCTTCTGCCACAAAGCTAATCTTTTGTTCCAAAATCCAGTCAGTGAGATGAATCGCGATGTTTCGTGCAATAGGATAATATTCTTCAACTTTGTTTGACTCAAAGCCCTTCAGCATGCCCATAATTTCATCGGTATCGACGTAAGCATAGTTTCCGAAGACTGGGTGCGTTTTGAATTCGTTGTTAATTACAGTTGTTTTTCCTGCTCCCATTGGACCAAGAACAAAAATCGCGTCACAGCGATACTGAGTATTTAGCAGTTTACGTTTCCATTTACTCTCAACGTGTTTAGTGTCTGACGAAGTGATAAAATGGTTTGTAGTTTCTGTTTCCTTTGGCTCTACCCCATTCACATCCTTAGCGTACTCTGACATAATTCTTGTAGTCCAGGATGAAGTATACATTCGGAAGAGTAACTTAACCCTACAAGTGGAAGACGAATGAGCGAAACATTGTTTTGAATGCAGGGGCAAAATACGCGACGCCATGTTTTATTTTATCATGGAATATGACGTCACAAATGGGGTGACATTTTTGGGGCACGCAGGAGGTGTGAGGCGAATACAGTGTGCAGGTTTGACCGGTATGACAATAAAACAGAAATAGGCCACACTTCTGAAAGCGATAAGCTGGGTAAAAGTACAAATATGTTTTGCTGTATAATGTGCATCCTGTTTAAAAAGAGCTAGTTTTCATTTCAGTAACCATTGTTTTTGGGAGATTAATCACTCTCACAATGACCATCAGGATCCCACCGACCGTTGATTAGCACGTGAGCTGCATCAGGAGACCATACACGAACTTCAGCCAGACGGACCCTGACGTAAAGCCTGCGTGCTCGTCTCCTGGCAAACGTCAACGATTCAACACCCATGCAATAGAGAAATCCTCCATGGCAGGCGTGGCAGGGGATGGACCTTTTATCCCCATTCCGTCCCCTTTTTTGCGTCTGCCACGCAACATACCTATGCAGCGGAATAGTCCATTTTTGAGTTCGCTATGACCGCTGAGTTAAAGAAGTGAAGACGCATTTTTTACAGCCTTAGCCTCCATCTGAAGTAATATATTCACAAATTCCAACGAGAAAAAGACCTGTTTATTACTCTGTCTCAGGAGCCCGCTCCTGTCTGTCTATTGTGTATATTCAAATTTCAAACACTTACTTGCCAGAATTTCAGAATATGTTAATTCACGTCGAGGCTAACCCTGTATGAATGTGTCGTTAATGTTTGTATTCAGCGGTAATTTTTAATTGGAAACTGGACTATTACGATCGGAGGTGTCTACCTAACGTGAGACATGCATATAATTTGAGACAGATATCATAACCAATAAAAAATGTCTAGAGAAGGAGTCTGGCTTTTTTTGTCATTGCATGGTCCTTTCGAAAGGAGACCCTAGCTGGGCTCGATTCCCATGGATATTCTTTAACCCAGTTTTTACTCTACGTTAGTAACTATCTGTGAACATCCTTTAAGGAGTACCATGGTCATTGACCTTAGATGTACAGCTTTTAAAGGACATTAACACCACTTGACCTTTAAAAAGTTAACTCTTCAAATAGCCAGCTGTGAGTCAGATATTTCCAGTGATTCTTTTACACATGAAATTGAAAAATCAGAGACGTCTGCAAATTGGATAGTAGACCCAAACATCTTCCTACTCTCGAGAATTTTATCGAGTGGAATCCCGCACTCGTCCCGGTATTTCCCATATTTGGGTATTAACATCCGGGAATTTTTTGACTAACATCATCGCCGCCATGATGAACAGGAGCGGCATAATGCGCCTCGAAACTCGAAGCCGAGCTAAAGATGATGTCAAACGGGTTATGCTTTCAGTGGAGCGCGTAAGGAAATGGTAATTACCAAAACCATGTACACGTGAGCGTAGATCTCTGCAATCGGTCGGAAGTTTTTGAATTTTTCCCATTTCAGCCTTCATTCATTTTTCACACAAAAGACCTTATCGCGCGATAACGGAAGTGTTCCTGTAGTCTGTCTCAGATTCTTACCTTTTCCCGACTATACCGAAACCTTTTTTCTTTTCGCAGGGAAAAGAAATGGGTTAACGTGGGTCCTAGCAGTTGTACGCTAAAAGTATTCAAATGGGTCCCTGGTAAGTGAAAAAAAAAATTTAAGGACTTACCGCAGACTTGTTTATGAGCGCACGTGGCCGATGCGCGACTAAAATTGTGAAACTGATTTTATGTGCACCGTGACTGTCGTTTTTCATTGTGCGTGTATTACGTAATTGACCGGTAACATTTACGTTGATGCATGCATGTTGTCAATTTCAAAAATACATTTTCGTCATAAGCAGAATATAAGCGTTTCATAATCAAGATGATTAGTTGGGCGAAAGCGAATAGTTGCGTAGTGATCATGCCAATCTTGCGAAAATATCGTTTTGCAAACTTTGATAAGCTTAAATAATTTTCTTATTTATATGGGCAAGAAATGTACATAGCTTCCTTGTAGGTAGCAAAATTCCATTGTGAGAGTTGCTGGTAACCTTATTAAAAAATATTGAAATTTAATATTTTTATAAGGTTACCAGCAAGTCTCAAAGTTTTTAAATTTGTATTTCTAACATTTGATAATTAGTGTGGGAGTCCAATGTTTTAAACAAGGTCCTGGCACCTTGGATTTTCCTAACAACCTCATTTTGTTTATATGCATCTACCAATGTAAACCCCTGTGGGGGGGGGGGGGATGTGGGCAATCCCATCCCCTTGGAGAGAGATTTGATCAAGTACACTTTCTCAGGGTATTGGGCATTTGATTGTTTCAGCAGAGAGACTGGGACCATGTATGTAGTGTAACTACACCAAAAGGCATGTTCTTTGATAAGGTGCATTTTTCTTCATGTCTATTTCCAGGTCCGTAACCAGGGGGGGTGCACGGGGTGCGTTCGCTCCTCCCAACAGGCCCCAAAGGTCCGCATTTTGATACTCAATATCCAAGTTAAGGCGTGCAGTCGGTTAAACTGAAGTTTCAAACTTAACAGTGCAGTGATATTTAAACAAAATCAAAGAATGGAAAAAGCAGTGGTGTATTCACTGGGAAAATAAAACCAGCTACACTCTAGTAGCCCGAGCCATTCAGAGCATTTCAATGAGCGCAGAGATGTCCAAGCTTATGTAAACGAATAATGAAATTAACGTGCGCAGGCCCCGGGGCGCAGGCTTTGCGCGGGAGTTTACGACGAGCGAGACAATGACAAGGGAGCGATCTCACGATTTTTGTCAGCCACGTCCGCTAACGCATCGGGTAGTATTCTCTATTTGTACGAGCGCATGAACGCCTGAAGATGCAAAATTAGTTTTTTGCGTAATACGTTATGGGTAGGAGAGAACAGGAAAATAGAAAGAGGAAGGGTGCAGCTAAATCTTGCCAGTCTCTTGATACAATTCAATGGGTCAGTAAAGTACCCCGTCAAGAGCTATCAGACGCTGACAATGACAGTGCAGTCTGCGATGACAGCCCAGCTGAAACCACAACTTCAGATGTGTCTCAGTTAACTACAGTTTTACAGCGAGATATAAACGGTAAATCATACACATTTTCGCAATGTCCACCAGTCTTGATCCCATTATTATGCTCTGAGATTTAGTCGCTACACCCACGGAGGCTGGAGCTCGGAACTGTTCTGACGGATTAGTTCCGCAGTATTTTGATGTATCATTTTACATCGTAAAATTACTCCTTTATAACTAAATTCAAACAGTTGTATTCGAAAAATGTAATATTCAGTTCCTACTGTGTTCTTTGCCGTTACAATTTCTCATGTATTGCTACTTTCCTAAATAAACGGATCAGACGATAAAAAATACATTTCCGTAGTTGGGTCCGCTTTGGCCTCGTTAGCACCCCCCCACATAAAATCCTGGTTACGGGCCTGATTTCCTAGTTTGGGGATCACCTTGTGACTTTGCTACTTTTACAAGTAAACCCCTGAGGTAGAAGTGACTCTTTGTGCTAAACAATAATGAAATATTTAATAGAAGTGGAAAGGTCTTTTATATGTCAATGAAACAAAATATATATCTAAAGACAGGTCTTATGAAAGGTGTTTCACTCATTTTTAAGCTCAAACAAAGTGTATTTTGAAGGGAAAATTATTTACAGCATTGCTTTTTATGGAGACAACAATATAGGTCATGCATCATGTTGCCTCATAATGAGGATAGGTTAAGTCAGGTTTGTGACTTACTTATGGCCTTCACTCTTTTTCTCTTCATGCTGCTAAACAATGGAATTAATTGCCAGATAGAAAATAATTTAAAGCAGTGTGTAAATAGTTTTTGTAAAGTACTTCATATAGTCTTATGTTCAATTAACTTTCCATAAGATTTGTTGTCTATCTTTTTTTTTTGTTTCTCTTGGAAAGATGATCTCCTTAAAGCAACTCTTAAATTCAAAGAGAAATAAAGGTTTTGTTTGACCATGGCAGGATTAGCTCAGTCGGTAGAGCTCTTGACTGCAGAGCTTGAGGTCGCAAGTTTGATTCCTGAGGTCAGACCAACACTCACAGTCTTCAAATAACTGACAAATGAAGGTACTGCCTTAATTTGCCCTGCAAATGGCTAGACCTTTGTGTCGCTTGGATGACGATGTAAAATGGTGGTCCTGTCTCCAGTAGGAGACGTAAAAATAGCGTCCCCAATTAGTGCTTTCATGCTTAAAGCATTGGCACTCTAATAAAGTGCACTTTTTTTATGTATGTACATGACATCCATCATGAATTGAAAAGGTCTCTTGGTGGGGATTTTTAGCTCTATTTGATGAAGATATCCCTCCCCACCCTCGGGAATTGTCCAAAATTTTTACTTTTTGATCAAATCCCCAACCTTTGCCCGCACTCTCCTTCCCCCTACACAGGGTTTATGTTGATAGACAATGTATTAGTTAAAAACAAATACTAATCTCCGGAGAAATTTCTTTCTCACAGTGAGTCAAGATCAGAACAAAGAGGTAAGTCTTGCAGGGATTTTGATTCAGAGGTTTTATAATATTGTATGTATCATTGCAGTAAATAATTATTATTGACAACTATGAGCAGCTATTATTTATCTCATTATGGTATTGCTGTTAACTGATAGTGCTAAATGAATATTATTATTTATTATATTAAAATATTGTCATTGGCTCAATCAGCATTCATTTAATTAGCTTTCTCGATGTCTTTTTGTTTATGTAAAATGGCTTATAGGAAAAGACCAAGGGAAAGAAACGTGTAACTACAGACAGTGGAGCAGGTGAGTTAACAGAACTCATGGTTTGAGATAACTTGCTGGACATGTAGGCACTGAAGATGTTATCCAGTCAAACCCATCTTTAGTAACTTGTCCACGTGCTTTGTTAGCTGGCCAAATATCATTAAGGAATAACTTAAAACAAAGAAAGAAAACAATGAAAGAAAAGGCAATCGTTTTAATTATACTGCAAATGAAGTATTATACGCTTTGAAATATAAAACCGCCAAGTAAGGGGCTAATATTTTATCAACTAACCCATGGAAATGTTGTAAGGACACAAGTTTTACACTCTTTAAGATCCTGACCCTGTACTGCAGAAATTGCGTAGAACACAACATGTTTCATATGAAGGTATTGTTTGTACGCAATACATTGTAAATCGCTGCATGCAAAGGTATTAATTTGGGAACTGTTTTCTTCTAGTAGCAGATGATGGTGACAAAGACAACCAATCAGTTAGTTCAAGTGTTGGTGAAACTAATGACAGTGCTGCATCATCTCCAAGCTCCTCACAGCAGCAGGTCAATGAACTATCAACAAGTGCTGTTACTACTTCCAAGTTCCAACCAGTGGATCCTCTTCAACTGAGTAATGCTGGAGCACCCTCAGCTGGCGATAACAGTGGTCATCCTACAAATACCAGTCCTATAAAACGGAGGGCAAGCCAGGCTGAAGAGCTGTTGAAAGCTCAAGATGCAGGAGGTATGGTGTACATGTAATTACATACATAAGAGGTTATTCAGTAAACTAGGGGAAGTGGTCATTTTGGAAGTTGAAAGTTCAACAAGTTTTACCCCTGAAAAGAGATCTTAGTTCCGCTGTATAAAATGAATTGTTTTTACTGTAGCTGAGTTACTGTATCAATATTTTTCTTACATGCTAATAATTTGTTCAAGAACTTTGGTCTGTGAGAATATTATAGACCATGGAAAAGATGTGATGGTGCAGTGCTTCAACAGACCTCAGCCGTAAAGTTTTGTTGTCATTTTTATGGTCTTTAAGAATAGACCATGGAAAATTTATTGTTTTCTGTGTCATGGTTCATAAAGGATTCATTAGCTTTTATTCAAGGACTTTTCCAGGACTTAGTAACAAAATTCAAGGAGTTAATTTTCTCAGGCACTCGCATTATTTTGTCACAAATATTACATATTTTGAACAGTTGTGCCAACAAACCAATACCTGTAAGTGCAAATAACATCCTAAAACCAAAGGATAACAGCTTTTTCAGAGTCAAATAAATTTCACACTCCTTCAAGCTGTATTTCCCTCGTGGTTTTGCATAGAGGGGTGCTGTAGAATACACTTCGGAGACCCCATTAAAGGTGTGGTTGCAAATATACTTTGAATAAGAAATACTTAATTGTTCTGGAATAGAAAGCTCTTCGTTCTTTGAGACTGCAAAGGTGTTTCTCAGGAGCTCTGTCAATCTGTTGCTGTCAAAATGAACTTACTTTGTTGTAGCAGGGTGCAAAGAAAATCATTTGTACTGCTTGCCATTTGGGCAGGGTGAAGCTAACATTTACTAGCCCAGACGTCATTTTAACTATCCCCAAAAGCTTTTTACAGAGCAGAATTGATTTCACAGTTCTTCTGTTATTCAAATTCCTCAAAAAACATCACTTGCCCGTCAGGCAAGTTAAAAACAGAATTCACTAGCCCGATAACAAAATCCACTAGCCCCGGGCTATCAGACACTACTTTCTTTGCTCGCTGTGTAGTCTCCAGTTTTCAAAGAGTTTTTAACAAAATTCAAGCACCACTTCTTCAAATCATTTTCAAGGACCTAGCGGCCTCTGAAGGATTATTCCAGGCCCATGCGAACCATGTGTTTGTTAAATTAATATAAAATAACACACCATTATATTTTATATCATTAGGTTTGTGATGAATGACATTATTTCTTTGGGTTTACTTGTTTTAGTGGTTATATTTACCTTCCCATTTATATCTGTTTTAAGTTGTGGTAAGGTGTGGAGTGGTTACCAGATTATTATAATCTTGAGAACCTTCAGCAAACAACTTTACACCTTTTAATAGTGGTCAAAAAATGAAAACAAAATCCACCCCCGACAGTACAGAATGGATCATCCCCATACATATCTGTCTCAAAAACTAAGATGTTACATTTATTGTACATGTATTTCTTTTTTCAGTGAACTTTGAAGGCAGTGACAAAGGAAGTATTGGGATGGATGAAAATTCTTGCAGCGGATTTGATCTAAATGAAGACAGTAATTTAACAAGTATAAATGATGGTAATAATGATGACAACGAAGCTGATAATAGCTACATCAGCAATGAAGATGATGAAAATGAGGATAATGAAATTGACGATGATGAAAATGATGAAGAAAACAATGAAGATGATGGTGGTGAAGAAGATGCACAAAATGGATTTGAAGGAGATGAAAGTAACCTTGCTCCATCACTTGCTAGGTAATTTTAATCTACATTTTATTTCAGATTGAGGAATGATTTTTTCTTAGATCTATTTTTGAACATAATGTAAATTAAAGTACTGGACATGTGATAGTCTCCCTCTAATGTTAGTGTCAATGATAATTTCCATTTCCAGTGTCACCATTGAGGTACATGTATATCTTTTTGTCCATGTACACTGTAATTACACTGAGGTAAAGCTGGTTTGTTCATTTGTAGTGAATACTAAATTAGGTAAGGGTCTGTGAGTTAGCTTCCCGTTTGTTAATTTAAACCTTATGTTTGTGTAGCGAGGAGAGTGCCACAATTTCATACAGACTTGGAATAGGAATGGTGCCTGATGATGAGGACTCTAGGCCAGGCTTTGATGATGGGAATGATACTTCTTTGCAACCAGGGACAGATCTGGCTGGAGAAGATGTACCTTCCAGTGATCCTCCCACCCAGATAACCACTGATATATCAAGTGTGTTAGAGCAGGATAGCATTCAGGAGGTAAAATGAATTTTGGGGAAAGTTTTGTGGTTCATATTTATCATAATCTGATCTGAAAAGTTTTCTTTAGTTTCAAATTTATGTTCCTTTATGTGACAACAAAAAGAATTTTTTTGAAATGTTTCAAATCAAGTAATTTTGAACCACCATTCAACGACTCCAAATATCTCTAATAGCAGTGACTCTATACAGTGTTAAAGGTGGCGTTACATAGCATCTATAAATTTTGAGAGTTCATAATAAATAGGCTGTATGTTATGTTGAAATTGATGTTGCACCAATTAAGATCTTACTTGACTTACAGATGAAAGTAGTCAAACTAAAACCTTACATAATAGGAATCAGTTATGCTTCACGAGATTAGTACTCATGAACTTGACTTTGTACTCAATTCAAGGCTGTTCTCTAAGGAAAATTGAAGGGAGCCCATTGCTCTGAACCTGTAAAATATAGGGTGTCTAGCATATGATGTATATGAAAAAAGTAAGATTTTCTATTCGCCCAAGAGCAAAAGTTACATGTGTAGGTGCCAGGGGCCACCAGGCTCTGCTATAGCACAGACCTGGCCCTGGTTGTTCAAACGTTGGATTGTGCTATCCAACAGATAAATCACTATCCAGCTGATAAGTTTGAGGGAAACCAATATTGCATTATCCAGTGGATAGAGATTTATCCAGTGGCTAGTGTTATCCACCTTTCGAACAATTGGGGCCTTAAGTCTTCAAAAATATTATAGTGTATAATCATTATGAGGCTTTTTTTTAGATCCTAGACAACTAGAGTATTAAAACATGTGTCAAAATTACTTTTGCTTTAGGAAAACGAATCTCCACCTGTCAAAAGACTTCGGACGGATTCTCCCACTGATCCCCAAGAACAGTAGAGCAGCATGTATATTATTACGTAATTATAATATTTTCTCCTACAAGTAGAAATTTATTAAAATGATATTTATCAGGATTGTATACTTAATTATAATTTCAACAAATAGATTTCTATTTATGTCACTTTGGTTCATTTCTTCAGGTTAATATATTCCTTGCCACCGCTTTTTCTATCATCATTGTAATGGGTTTATTTTTATCACCAAGAACGTTTTTTTGTACAGTACAAACTCTTCTAAGTCACAGATAAAAGCTTCTTTGAATCATTTAAATTGTGTCGAATCCTGTAATCTATATTGTGCGTGATCACTATAGGTTATTGTGCTTTTTTTTTGTCCTGTTTGAAACATTCACAACAAGTTGTGTCACATCCAATAGTGATTAGAACATAGTCACTTTATAATTAAGGGTAAGCCAAATCTCAAAAAGGTTAAAACCTTATTGGTAAAACAGCTTTTCCTGACAGAAAAATAGTTTGTTTAGAAGTAAACTGTATTATATGTAATATAGTCTTTTATATATTTTGTTATGTGCTGAAATATTTCTTTGCAGTATACATTAAAATTTCATACAACAATTTAATTGTTGTATGAAATTTTTGTTCTGGTTTCAGTTCTGGAAGTATTTGTCAGTTGTTTCATAAATAATATTAATGTCTAACAAACCCATGTTTCTCATAAATGTGAGGCTTTTTTCTTTTGCAGAAGGAATTTTGGAAGTCTTATCTTTAGTTTTAACAGTGCATTTGAATGGTATCCATATCTTACAGACATTTTGCCATTTTTCACAAGAGATGTTTCGTATGGTATACAAAGATAATGATGGCAAAGGGAGTGGCATTTAAATGAATGCACAAATTGTTATGCTCATGAAAGAAACATTACTAGTAGTATTTGCTGGTACTGTTTTTTGGACTGTTATATTATGCCTTGTTCACCAATTTTTGCCAGTGGTATGACATGGTCAGTGACAATAGGCAATGTTATTGCCCTTTGTAATTATTATTATGAGTATCACAGGGTTCATACCCTTTTTTGAACAAAAAATAAAGGACTTTTAAAGACTTTCAAGGACACATTTCCTGTTTTCCTATGACTTCATTCGGTGCAGAGAGACCTGAGTCTGTCTTCTTTAGTTCTTCCACAACATGAGTAATTTTATCCCGAAGGTCTTTCTGTGTTTGCTCCTTTTCCTTTGGAGTTCTGATTTATAAAGTTAAACGACTTTCCAGCACTGACTGCAATTTTCAAGGACTTTCAAGTACTTGCGAACCCTGTTATTACTATCATTATCAATTCACTTAAAAAAACATCACCATCCAAGATCATAGACAGAGAAAAATGAAAATATATTATAATAAATATTATCTTTATCGTTATTATCACCATTATGTTGTTTCTTATGTCAATCACAACACAGCGGTATTATATGCTTGTTAAGGCTGCGTAGCACCGGAAACCTATAAGGGGTTTAATCAACCCCTTTTGAGTTTCTTGTGGCACTCATTGGAGTCAACATTGAGGTTTTATTCTGATAGAATCTGTTAGTTTTTAGAGGTGAATATACTACCAAGCTTTTGTTTCACACTCCATTGCTTCAACCTAGCTGAGCTAAAGCATGACAAAACTTGGGTGGCTTATGGAAAATTGGTTGTCAATATAAGCTTGCCATCCTCTCTAATGTAAACTTGGGATTATCAAGACTGTGTTTGCCTTGGCTTGAAAGAATTGCAGTTATTCCAGCAATATCTGAAGCGTTGAACATTTATTGTGCAATGCTCAGATGTTGCTTGAATAACTGTTAACTTGTGGCTTGTTATCCCTTTAGTTTAATTTTTGTCGATATTGTTCTCTGTATTATTTGTTCTGATTAGAGACTGGTAATATTGCCTTTGTAAAGTCTTGTTTCTAAGGAAATTGAATAAACTTGTTTACTATATGTATCTTTATTGTGATATTTTTTTGTCATTCTTGGGAAAGTGGTCATTGTAAAATGTTTTCCAAAAATCGTTCTCAGATGATTCTAACAGATTGCGTTTTTCACAAATTTGGGTTATTTCTTATGATAAAATTGACATAATAAGCACTCCCTTTTGCCTGGGCAAATAATTTGATTATAGTGTGTGCTCAATAATAATGGTAGCAAAATCCAAAACATCATCCACTGGAATTTGAGTGATCCGTCCAAGCTGCTCCACCACCTATGGACCAACAGAATTGACATAACCGCACGATATCAGCATTTTTTTGGAAATGAGTGATTTCTTCTTGGTAAATATAGTGCACAATGATTAGAGATCACAGACAGGAAGACAATGATAATAATAATGATAATGATGATGATAATTTTTTTAGGAGCTTTTTTAAGAATTAAGAATTAGCAATACAAGATTTTATTCTTTTTAACTTGTTTCTTTTTTAATATCAGAGATGGATAATTTTCTTTTGTCATGACTTCAACACTGGACTGCCTGTGAGAGATAATGATGATGATGATGATGGTGATAATAATAATAATAATAATGATAGCTTGCGTAGCTGGCGGTTTTTTGGTGTTTTTCTGCCCAGTGTTTTTGTCCTTGGTTCAGCTTTTACGTGGCTGTATCTCTTACTTTGTGAATCACAAATGAAAAAACACATAAGGAAAATGCCAGCTACACAGACTATAACAATGATAATAATAAACAGCCAACTGAAAACAAGTAATAATTTGTTAACCAGCTAGACGTTCAAAGCACTGTCCCTTTGTGATCTGTAACTGCCATGCTTCTTGCACACTATTCAGGGAACTGGTATCTATTTTGTGCCTTGTTAACAATAAATCATTTGAATATCCAAACAGTGAAATCACTCAACCACTCTCCTTCCCTGTAACCCTGGCTCCGGTTAGAATTTGTAAGTTCTACTGTTATTTAGCAATAATTGATTGAACAACTAACCATGTCACTTGTTCCCTGATTTACAATAAAGGATGCTGCTCCAATGACTGACACTGCAAGCAACATTAGATCATTAGCTAAAACAGATAGCTTTTGCCTGTCATTTATACAAGTTTCTCCTGTTGCTGCCATGCACAACTTGCTGTAGATTTCTTCGTACTTTAGGTAGACAATGTCCAGTAGCTTTACACTGGCATCGTGAAGAAGCTTGACTTGAGAGCGAGAGTCGTTATGTCCTAAATAAGAAAACGAAGGATAATGCAAAATGCTGTTAATACTTAGGTAACTTCCTAGCATTCAAGCCAATTCAAATAATCAGTGACAGTGTTTTTCTATTTTGGCCAATAAAAAAATTAACCAACCAGAATTCGGGGGTCTGTTGGTAGTACAGTATATAAATGCAAGTCCCTTATTCTTTTTAAAAATATTTTCAGTTCAATTTTTTTGGCTCTCCTCTGTTTCTCCATAAGTGTGAGAATAGCTGGTTACTGTCATCTATTGTCTTAACAAGCTGGCTTTACTAGGGACACAAACCAGTGGCAGATCCAGGGGTGGGGCCCTTAATTTTAGACCAAACTGATGCCTGAAAGGCCGAAAAAAATTATTTTGGGAGACCCCCCCCCTTTTCTAAGGGTCTGGACGACCGGCCCCCACCCTTATCTTAAGGTCTGGATCTGTCACTGCAAACCGTCATGCTTTGCCAGAATGAGTGAGTGTGGCTCTAGAACTCAGCCGCCCTTATGTATTTTTGTTTCGTTTTTGTTTCACTACAGTACTTCTATTTATTGCAGGGTTCACTGCTCACAGGGTTAAGGTGTGACCCTGAAATGACTCAAAGGACCATTGCAGTCAGTCATTCTCTAGGAATTTTGTTACTATTTATTTTGAAATCCGTATTTCTTTCTGATTCCCTTTTTTACTTACCAAGTATCTCAAGAATTGTTTCTAAAAATGTCAGCGGTGTTGTGATCAAGATATGATAGTCCAAGGTTTTAAGGATTCGTAGCTCTGATTTCACCATGCTCCCCAGCGTGTAACAATGACCAATGGAATTGAGGAATCTCTGACCTTTGGTTGGTGTTACTAACTATGAGGGAATGAACGTAAATAATGAGCCATATTTTTAAACTTCCTATTTTGAAGTGTTAACTTACAAGTGTCACTTCCATGTGGACAAGGAAAAGCGCTATGCTTTATTACCCTCCCACCCGTATCTCATCGCCGCCATTCAATCTTTCAACATTAATTTGTTCAAATTCTCTCTGAGGAAGCAGAGATATAGATAAAGTGGAGCTGTTGCCATTTAAAACTTATAGTTCATTTACGGGCCGACGGTTTGTCTTTTGAAGGGGGTGTGGGTGATTTGGTTTGTGTAAGAAATTTTTTTCTTCAAACCTCTGGTGATAGAATTTTTTCCCCGACATGCAAAGCCATTGTATGGCAGTTATTTCCTTGCAAGATTTTTTTTTTTCGCTCGAACGGTCTGCAGGATATTTTTTTCTGAAATCATCCATAACCCCCCCCCCCCGCCCCGCTCAAAAGTCAAACGGTCGGCCCCTTACCTTATAATGCGATGTCAACTTGCTTGCTAGTTGCACACACGACATAATTCTGAGAGGAACCTGTGTTTTTACTCGGTTTTCCACCTCTTTCCAGTTCTTTTGCTGGTTTGTATCTGAATTTGAACGTATAAGGTCATACAAACTGCACACATGTTTTGCCATAAATCTGAAAAAAAGTTCGTTGACCGGATGAATATAAGCTTACTTTTCATTTCCAAAGGAAAATACTATTTTTATAAGGAAGCTTAAAAAAATTTCACTCACTTGTCAAAGATTTCTATGGCTAAGAAGCGCGTTTCCATTGGTAATCCCATTTCTCCGCAGAGAAGAAAAACATATTCTGAAATTACAGGTAAAAGGCAAACATGTGAAGTCCAGCTAGTCAATGACCCGAGGCTCTGAGTTTTTTTAATAACTCGGCTTTTTCGACGAAGATTAAAAATTAGATAACGTGTAAATGAACCCTTTTACCTGCCGTTTTTCCTCCTTTGAAAAATCCCTGTATACCACTTGCATTGTCCATATTTTTTTCATTTTCATCGGCTAAAACATACAACGCTTCTTCCAACAACTCAGGTGGCAAACACGCCGACTTCATGTTGAACACAGGTTCTGGAGGAGTACCGAAAATTCTGTTTTTATACATTTTTTATGAAATTTTACATTTTCCTGCCCTTCGCAAGAAAACACGTAGTAAAAAGACTTCGTTTTAGAACCTTAAAGTCTCGGAATTTCTGCGAAAATATCATGTTGATGAACTGAAGGAGTTTCAAGCTCATATCTTTTCCGTCTTGCGCGTGTTGTTCAGCCGCCCGGTGCAGCGCGCGCTTTCAAATTTTGGCGGGAAATCTGGGTGAGCGGGCTGGGATCCAGGTCACATGATTCCTAACTAGATCAATAGATCCATCCATGCTAGATCCCAGAGTCCTTTACGGTCACTTGACCATTGGAGCATTGGAGGCTTCTAAAAAGTTTTAAAAAGCTTTTTTGCTGTCTGGGACAATTTCATTGTCACCCAATACATTCTTTTGTGTGTCTTGCCGGTCAGGCGTTTTTTTTTTCATTTTAATTGAATCACATTCTGAACAAAAGCGTCGTTTCATAATCAAAACAGCTTGGCCAGCCTTTTACCTTGACTTATGTACTACAGGGTTGTTAAATAGAACAAAATTCAATTTTAACAGACTTATTTTTTATCTTAAGAGGAGAAAAAATAGAAACTTCTCTTTGCCATTGCAACTGAGTCCGTCCAGTCCACCTCAACAACGTCCATTTCTGGTACGGGTGAACTGGGTACTATCAATCTTACTTCCATATATGGATGACGATTGAGGAGGGTTTACTTCCTCCCGATGTTGGATTCCTAAAGTGAGCAGTTTCTGTTTATTTCTAGCATTTAAAATGCCGGTAAGTACGTTTTGTTGAGCGAGAATGCTTGATCATACTTCAAGAAAGCTTTTCGCTTCATTTAATAGTTTATTTGTTTGATTACTAGGCGTATCATTCGTCATTGCAAGCGCCTAATTCCATAGGCAACATGGCGCTTCTTCCTATCAACACGAAGTTCAAAGGGCCAGCTCCGCCTGGAGGTACAGCTCAAACAGCTTTTTTTGTTATTTGTTTAAGAAACAATTATTTATTGTTAAGTCGCCAAATGGTTTAACTTCTTTGAACAGATGAAGCTGTAATGAATTAGGCATCGTGATATCCGATATGTTAAGCTTCTGTTTTTACTGTCTCTTTAATGGTTTTTAGATGGAAATAATGACATCATCGACGAAGCAATCTACTACTTCAAGGCCAACGTGTTTTTTAAAAGTTATGAAATCAAGGTACTTACAGTTATAACTGTAGCATCGTGATATTTAACTGCACGGATTAGCTCCAATGTTTGTTGTAAAACACTACTTTGAACCACCCTCCTCCTGAAGGGGCAATAGGGAAAAACTCCAACAAGTGACATAACTTTGAAACAGCGACATAACACAGTCGAAGTGGTGAGATATCATATATAGACATAAAAGTGACAGAGACAGACATAATTGCAAATTATACAACAGTAAAATACAGACAGCGACATAGCTTCCTCCTCAACACGTGAATTGACAGGTTTTGAAGTTTTGACCCAAGGACATTCATACTTCCTCCTAAGACCTCCTCCCTCCCCCCCAACATCTCTTGTTGCAGTCAACCCTTGTCTTGCTGACATTTATGGACACCGCAATAAAATGGACAGTCAGTAAATCTGGGCAAAAACTCTTGCTTTCATGGACTCTCAGCACTAAAAACAAACTTTCGGTCTCCGAGAACAAATCCAGCAAGAGGCCAGTGCGGGACTCGAACCTGGGGCTGCCGAATTGCGAGTCTGACGCGCGGACCACTCGGCCATGCTGCCTCCTCCTCCTCCTCGAGGTTGTTCATTTTCACTGCCATCTCCTCTACCCCAAGGCTGAGTTGTTCAACAGAGCATAAGCAGAAATCTATATTATTTTTGGCCACAACTCATTTACTAGACTGTTTGTTTACTGGGATTTCACAACCCAAACCTCAGACCTAACTAAGCTTCAAACAACCTGTTTACAGGATACGATCATCAGATCACTTCCTTCCCATGTATGAGGTTCTGTCTCAAACAAAGCAGTAAATACATTTACAAAGTTACTATAATATTTTATGCTGATTGTATTGTTTTGGTTTCAGTCTCCAGCGGATCGTGTTTTAATTTATCTGACACTTTACATCTCGGAATGCCTGAAGAAACTTCAAAGAGTACGTTAATTTAGTTTTTAATCTCAGACTATTCTCACTACTGGAAATAAAACAAGGATATTTTCATAACAAAAGATATCCCACACAATTCCTAGCTTTTATATATTACCATCGTTCTTCCTCTTGTGTGCATTTGTCTAAAAGAATCTCCGAGGGCAGTCAGTGACCCACCCTCCCGGCCTCCAGGCATGATGCGGTGCACTGCTGTCAATGCATGTAAATGTACTGCTGTCCACACCTGTGGACAGCGACCCTTTTTATGGCTTCCATATCTCATTGTATATTTAAGTGTATTGTAGGTAGTGAGAATATGTTACTATGTTAACACTTGGTTCCTGACTACAGTTTTGTCAGGGTACTGTAGTTGACACACCCTTATCCCCCTGTTGTGGTTCAGTTTTATCCTTGGTTGATGTTTTATCTTCCTTTGTATTTGCTTTGTGATTTGTATGTTAATTAGTGAAAAATAAAAGGAAAGGAGAAATTGAACCAAGGCTAAGACTGAACCACAACATTCTCTTACCAGAATTGGGACACAGTAGCTATTTATATGCCTGAGTAGAGAAAGTTGAGACCTTTGTTTGTACACTAACTTAGTTAAAAGGCATGGTAGTCCCATTCCAGTGGTGTACTACCCACACTTCACTGCTACAGTCATGGTGAGGGTCACCGGGTATGTAACCCCAAGTTCTAAAAATTCGATTCTATTATGTGCCTTTTGTTGTCATTGAAAATCCTCACTCAGGAAGTGTCAATAAGGTAATTATTAATGGTATTGTATAGTACAGAGTTTATTGCCCAGGCACCTAGTGTGAGCATACCCTCAAGCCTCTCTTATCACCAGTAACTTGGCTTACTCAGGCTGGTATGTTCAATATATTCACTTAATTTTGTTTTAGTGTCAATCTAAAGTGGATGGGAAAAAAGAGATGCATTCATTAGCAATTGCCAACTTCACTCTTCCAGGAGATAATGGCTTTCCATTGAATGCAATGTACCAGAAGCCAGCCAGTAAGGCTGAAGCAGGTATTGTCTTTATTAGATGTGTGTTATAACATGTATAAATACATGTTATGGTTAAAATTTTTCCATAGTTTAAATTTTATTTCCCTTAGCTTTTTAGGTATGGTAATGTATGATAATGACATTAAAACGAGGGAAACCACCAACATATAGGCAAATCTTCATTTACTGTATTTTCCTCAGTGATGCACGCTTCTTGATTCTAATCAAGTTACATAAATGCAGTCTATAAATACAAGCACTTTCACTTTTTATACAGCATTTTGTCTTTTTCTGTGAAATCCCCATGGTAATGAAGCAAAATATAAACAATGAAGTAAGCCAAGATTTGCCTATTATACAACTCTCAGTAAAATTGTCTAAATGTTTCATACTTTTTTTCTTTGTGGCCAGACTCCATGAGGGCATACTTAACTCAGCTGAGACAAGAACTTGGTCAGCGAATTATTGAAGCTGTGTTTGATCCTCAGACAGATAAACCATCTAAGGTAAAATATTAAGATCGCTTGGAAGTGATTTTTCAGTTCTTTCCCAGGACCCCACTTAATAAGGGACCATGAGGTTTCTATCATGGTAAAACACAAGTCGTTGTTTTCATTTTACATTGTGTTATTTAGGTGTTTGCAATAATTGTTCTTGTTTTCAGTGGTGGATGTGTTTTGTGAAGAGGAAGTTTATGGACAAGAGCCTCTCTGCACCTGGACAGTAATGCTGTAAAAAAAGTAAGTTAATGTGAGAGAAACTTACACTTTATGGAAATACAAGGTGGTTCTACATCTAAATAATCATCCCCTGTAAACAGACTCTTCAAGTTGATCCCTTATCAGTAATTCATTTATCGAAATCATTGGTATTATCTAGACCTGTTGCGTAAATGATGTGGTCTTAAATGTCAGCTGTCTCCACCCCCTAACCTGTGGGAGGCATGCCCCTCCCCCCCACTGGTTAGAGGGTGGAGACAGCTCACTTTTTTCAGTCTATCAATGTTGCTGCTTTTCTAGTAATTCTTAAAAAGGACAAATGCTACACAAAGGAATACAAGGCATATAGGGTTTGAGTCAACTGTAATTCTGTCCTTTTTAACTGGTCCTAAGTCATGAGCTATTTTCTTGGAACCAGCCTTTTTTTCATGCCCTGTGTACGAAGATTATTAGCTGACTTCCTGTTCTTGTTTGCTGGTTTTTTTTGCAGGTCATTTATGTTCGTACATCATGGCTGACTTGAGAACAAAACCTGTGTAAAATGTGAATTTTTGAGTTTAAAACAATAAAGACAGTTTTACAGAACTTCATTAGTATTTTTTGTGGTTTGTGGGTCCTTTTGGTTTGTCCGGGAATGGAGTAACATGTGACAGGTCAAAAGAAGATCTGTGTAGCAGGTTACTGGACTAGTATGTGTTTCTCCCAAAATTCACTGGCATAGAATCCTGAAAACAATACCTCTTTGTTAACAATTTTGTGTGGCAAAGCTAATTTTACCTTGTAATTAAATTAATGACACCTGCCTACTCATCAGTCAAACAATGGTGATGAATGACTGAACTCTATCTTTGCCCAGTCATCATCATTGGCCGACTGAAGAGTAGTCAGCTGTAAGACATCTCCAACTGGCTCATTCTTTGAGCCGTGCACACGATGTCATCCTCTGAGAAATGCTTATTGGGGCTGATCCATTCCTGGACTTGTTTTTATAAGGACTTATGGTCTCCCTTGGGGTCTTTTCCTGTGGGAGGGCTCATACAACACGTAGATGTAAGCGGGTGCCCCCAGTACAGAAGGTTAGCGTAATATTGGTCAAAATGCAGCTTCAAAATTGAAAGTTGAAAACAAAATGTTACATAGTTTATTATTTAAAGGGCTTTGGTGCATTTGTGAAACGAGAGACGTCAACATCAATTGCATTTCTCCTTTATTACCAAATGAAAGGCAATATCATTTACAGTGCAAACACTCTCAACTATATCTGGCTAATACTTAAATTAATCCAACTGTTAATTTCTGAAGTGTCCATTCCCTACCCTTTCTTCTAAATATGATGGTTATTTTCTCACATTCACATACAGTGGATCATCAGTAATAAGTGAGGCCTTTCAGGATAGGTCTACAAAACAGGATTTCATTAGCTCATTTTCAGTACGCATTTGACTTCCCTTTCAGAGTCTCCTTTTACTTCTAGCTTCAACTAAAATAACTTAACTAAGGAAAATTTAAATCATCTTGGGCTTGAGAAAGGGAAAGGGGGAAAAATGACTTACATCCGATAGCTACCAGAAAATCACTAAAATGTTCACCTGCTATTAGCATTGACTAAAAAAGAGTAATAAATTAAGATTCTGAAAGTATGTACTATGTACAGTTGAACCAATTATTTATAAACACTTATAAATTCATTTTACATTCTTTCTAATTACCAGTGCCTGAATTGACAATAACTGGGGTGTCCTATTTGAACCACCCTGTTGCCATTAAGTAGTATGGAGTCCAGGGAGAAGGGAGCACGTGCTGCTCCCAGTACATCAAATTTGGGGGCATTTTCTTGGTGGTGTGGATGATGTAATACAAAAGATTGAAGACACTCATCAATAACCAAACCACAACACGATAGCTAACCAATAAAAGTATCTGCAACACTAAGAAACACGCAATTTAGAACATTTTTCCAGTCCAATACAGCTCAAGAACTCGGGGTTCATTGACTTGTAATAAACTATGGGTGCCTACATTTGACACCAAAAATCGGAAAACAAGCTATAATAAATAAAATCACTCAGCAATATTAAAATCCACTCTCAAGAAACATGCAATTTAGAACATTATTCCAGTCCACACAGCTCAAGAACTCGGGGTTCATTGACTTGTAAAAACGGATGGGTGCCTACATTTGACAACAGAAATTGGAAAACAAGCTACAATAAATAAAATCACTCAGCAATATTAAAATCTACTCTAAAGCTAAAGTAATAAGACCATTTTGTGGAGCAAAGTCATTTTGATCTAAACCTTGGGGCATGCCTATTCTATGGTTAAGTAATGTTTGGTACTTTTAAACAGGTTTAAATGAGCTTCAAAATCCAAAAGCTAGGATGTTACAATTACAGAATTTCATGCTTTACCAGTACCATTACAAAGACCTGTACAAACCACCATAAAACTCAATCTTCCTAATTACGAAATCAAGCCTATTAGAAGACAACTGCCTTTGAATGTGGTTAACTGCCGATAAATTTCTAACTTTTATTGTTTTTTTCATGAAATATCCCTTTATAACCGAAGTCACATTCTATGTCCTGTGTAAGTTTGCCTGCATGCAGACATTTATATCCTATGTTGTACATGGAACAAAGGAAATAGAAGACATCTGCACGCAGGCAATGTGTAAGTATGTAAAACTAAAATAAATTTGGGTGCATGAAGTATTCTTAATTTTTTACTGGGGTAACTGGTATGTTGATATTAAGAAAGTAAAAACCTTTCAGGAGTTGGAACAAAGTTATTTAAAGTGGGTGGGAAAGGGTGTGTGAGAGAGGGGTCACACCTACACCCAAACCACCAGTTGTTATCCACTTATGATGACCAACAACTCAGTTGCATTGCTAAGGGGTGTAATGTTTGTTTGCATGTGCATTGACACACTGGAGCGTGTGGAATATTGCTCCAAGGGTCTTCTGAACTAACGGCAATTTCTTCCCTTGATTCAAAACACATATAAGGTGAATTGAAAGGAGAATCTAGCAATTTATCAGGAGTTAATTGGGGCAACCCTTCAACTTAAAGAATCAGTCAAGGAAAATATAGGTGTAAGAGTGGGGGCCTGAAGGTGAAAGAACAAGTTAATATGGTTGACTTTACATCTTCAACATTGATTCTCAGACAGTCCAAGGTCTCTTGGACCTCTCTCATTTCTCAGGAGAGATTAAGCAAGTGACTTTGGACTGTTAGAATCAGCTAACACAAGTTTGTGCATTTTAGTCCTTTAGTGCTAAGTGAAACATGGAGTAAAATGGGTCTCCAGTAACTTCCTTTACAATATCCAAGAAATCCGGCCTCTTCAAGCCGTCTCCCCTCTCTGTGGTGTATGTTTCAAGGATTAACAGCCCTTTACACCTATCAAAATATCAGACAACATAGTTAGTTTCTTGGGCCTAAATTATGCTGGTGACTGTACTTTGTCAACTACTTCATCACTGTACTAGCCAAAACTTTATGAAAGGAAAAAAATATAATTATTTGTAAGAAATGATCAGGATAGCCACATTCGGAATCCCAATCCTTAGGCAACAACCAAATGCATGCCATCTTTCAATCCCTATGGGGCAAATGTTTATGCCCTAGACAAATACAAGTAATTGGGGCATTAAGTTAAATCTCCAACCAATGGTCAGACAGCCTTCTCTATCGTCTTCCCAGGGAAAGTTTACCATCACATACCTTGAGACTTAACACGAATATGTGCCTGGAAGTGAGGTAATTAACTAAGGTACAATCTTAAGTGAAAAGAAATGTTATTATCACATAATACTGTCAAACCCTGCTTTTGGGACACTCGCTTAATACGGACAGCTCATTATTTAGTACTGTTTGCTTTGTCCCTGGGGAAAGAAAGCCCAAATATTTTCTCTCAATTCAACCTGCTAAATACAGATACCTCATTAATAGGGACACTTTCTATGGCCCCCTCAGTGTCCATATTAACAGGGTTTGACTGTACAAAAATCGCGCCTTGGCACTCTTTCCTTCAATGGATGACCACTGAACAATAAACAAGTTTATTACCAATAAATTATGAATGATAGAAAATGAAATGATACAGTATTTAAAAACACAAGGAGCAAAATAGGTACAATTTTACCTTGGATGACACGGTTCACTATAAATATCCAACTGAAAGTATTGATTGTTCCATAAGAAGCATCTCCTGGTTTTGTACACTGACTGACGAGAGTGATCAAGCTGGGTATACAACCTCTGAGTAAAAGGAGAAGAAATAGCAGTGAGAGAGAGATTCTTAACCCTTTCAACCAAAATATCCACATACAATTTCTCTAAACTGATCTTTATACAGGTCTTTAAAGAACTGGTTGAAAATTAAATAAAAGATAAAAACATTTCTCCTTGGTGATCATTTTATTAATTCTCATGACTTATTCTTTTGATTTTGTATTCATATTGTTGGGAGAAAATTGATGTTGCTTAATCCTGGGACTTGAGGGGTTAATGTCTACTGATTATGAACTTGATCATGATTACCTCATAATCCTTTGATGATAAATTAGTTCGGACTTCCACAACCTGTCCATTGATCTTGGTCTCTTTCCTTGACGTATGCATGTAGGTGTAGTGACCTATTCAGCAAAAATTACAAACGCGAAACTAGTTATAGGGTACCTGAAATGCATGCAACCCTGCATTGGCCAAGCATCTTAACAAGAAGAACCGACCAGCCCCACTAGCAAACATACTATAAACACTGTCAAGGGTAAACAAAGAAATTACTTATTATTATTAGCATTATTTATTTGAAAGAACCGCAGCATTTTACTGGTTTGTATCATTAAAACCCAACTTACTTGCATAATCGACTGCCTGGTTAGCTCAGTTGGGAGAGCGCTGGTCTGCTGAGAGGGAGGTCCTAGGTTCAAACCCCACCTGGACCAACACTTAGTTTCTTAAAATAACTGAGAAGAAGCGCTGGCCTTGTAATGACATTGGCAAATGGGTTAGACTTGCTAGTCTTGTCAGATAAGGACAAAAAACAACAAGTCCCATCTCACAGCAATTTCACCGATCTGCTTCTTGTGGATTGTAAAAGAACCCACACCACTGTTCGAAAAGAGGAGGGGACACAGACCCCAGTGGCGTGGCCAACCTTCCCTGGGCTGGGTGGGTTATCTCTAAGGAGAGATCTCAATATATGGATAACCTCATGATCCTCCTTCACATGTCATAATGGCTACCTGTAAACAGTGTATGTTATGTTACCATTCTGGCCTCTTTTTCTAAGACGAGCTTGACTTTTGGGGTCTGATGAAGACAGGTAGTCATGAATGACATCAAAGTCCTCAAAAACAGGAAATGCCTATAAAACAGCAATAAACAGTTAAAGGTAAGACTTCATAACTTGCCGTCAAAGCTGAAATTTATGGTGTGTTCCTATGGGATAAATTATCTGTACAAGGAGTCATGATCCAGGATAAAGATCATGGTTTATAAAAATGGCTCTAAACCTGTGAAATCAAGTGTACCCTAAATATGATTTCTATGAAAAAGCTATGAAAAGCCTAGAGGGGAGAGGACTTGATCCACATGAAATGGGCTGGGGTGCTCGTCGGAAATTTTGAATTAAACCTCCATTAAGAAGACCAATCCCCGACTGGCCAACCCTTTTTGTGACACCTGAAAGAGACCATTTAAACTTTGATCACATGAATTGAGTAAATAACCCGAATTGAATTAATATATAATTTTTTTATATTTCTTCGCATGCAACCCTTAAAGAGACCTTTACGCTTAATATGGCATTTTGCCCAAAACACGACGAGCATCCCCGCCCATTTCAAGTTGTCTTATATACTGAGGATAAAACGGTACTTTCAATTGCACTGTTTAAATTAGTAAATTGAAACTTGCCGGTGGTTACCTTTTTGTCTGGAAGAGATGAAACCAGAAACTTTCTCTTTATGCTCTCTGGTGACAAGCGATCTCCGATATTTAGTCCCAGTTTGGTGCAAACTGCCTAGATATTTCAGAAATATCAGCATGAGCGTATCTCAAAGATAATATTCATTCCCACATTGAAAAACATCACTTGGATTACACATGCCAAAACGCCACACACGTAATACCACCTTCTTGTGCTAACCCGCAAAATTAAAATTATAGGTTCTCATCTATTAGGAAGCGCACATACAGATACCACACTTAAAAATACATGCCAAAAAGCAACAACTGGGTAGCAAAATGCTAAAAGAAATAATGAAAATGTTAACATGCAAATTATCTTACTTCAATAGCACGACGCACTTTGCTGTTGAAGTTTGTAGAGTTGTCAATGACATCAACATATGGGTGCCCTACCCATGCCTAAAACCAAAAATATCAATACTGGTAATTATTTTAATGACATTCACCACACATTGAGTTCACATCAGGAAACATTAAGCATTTTTATATTTAAAAATTTATTACAGTGTGTTTCTTTCAAATTTTCGATCTCAAACGGATTTTGTGTTCCTTTTGGCAAATCCAGATTCAGAACCTTTCAGCCGTGAAATCAGGCAAACCAAGGATCAAAAATCTGTTTTTGGATTTGACCTTACCAGTAATTCTAAATCAATTTGCAATTCATCTGAAATTTGTCTGGTAACAGCTGTTGTTAGTGTTACAGAACAAGTGTCACAAAAAAGTATATTGTGTGCATAACAACAGTTACTTGGATGCTTCTTTATATTAAAACTGTGTAAGCTTTAAAGAGGAAAGCATTTCCAACCCCTTCTTAAAACTCAAATCCCAGCGATAAATCATAAACTTTTACTATGGAAACTTTTCAGTGGTTGGATGAAATAGAATATTGGATTTAATTTGCATATTCATGAGTAAGTGCGACTTAAGGTGTCATGGTTAGGGTCTGGCTCGAGTTCTTCGACACACTCGCTCATGGCAAATAAGACCCTCTGGAAATTTAATGATGTAACCATGTCAGTAGACAAAGTCCACAATAACATTGGGTACTTTAATTAGCAGTAGTGTGCAATGGGTTATAAAATACTGTATTCATTACAGCTGACCTGTTGTGTTATTCTGTCCAATTTTCTGGCCTGTTCCACAGGTTCCATTCGTGTGTGATTGTTTGATGTAATATAGAACTCTTCTGCACCTTCTGCTGCTGACACCTGAAGATTGAAAAATTATTTACTCATTCTTACTGCATTCTTTAAATGCAAAGGAAATGAAATCTCTTTAGAAGTCGAGAAAAGCATTTTGGAGAAAATAACCTCAATAGAGAAAAAACAATAAACTTACCAAGTGAATAACTTGATCATAGCGTGCATCTCTTAGTGTCACATTATTCAAGTCATTATTACTGAGAAGTCTTTGCCACTCCTCTGAACTCATGTCTAAAAGTTAATCAAATAAGAGTAAGGAATGATAAAATACTCATTTACTAAGCAAAAGGTCTAAGGATTATAAGGCTCTTGCCTATTATCCCTGCTGCAGAAGACGTAGTTACTAAAACATGGAACGACCTAAAACCACCTAAAACCATCTACAACCACCTAAAACCACCTCAAAAAATTCAACAACCACCTACAACCACCTCAAAAACACCTACAACCACTCGCAAACAATCTAAAACCATCTAAAACAAGGTATAAATGTCTGAAATAAGGTGAGACGACAACATGTCACGTACATGAAATACGAGAATCGAACAAAACATCCACTTCCCCCCAAAAATCTTACTCTCCCTGGTCCCTTGTATCATCATAGTTATTAGAGGAGACTGGTTATGAAAAGCGGCAAACATCAATGATAAAAACAACAGTGCTGCAGTTTATGTTGGAAGTACCGTGAAAGTGCACAATCCTTTGTTTTCTGTTGGCAAATTGTTACGGAATAAATTAATGCAACGTTTTTATTGGTCAATACAATCAAAATGATGGGAATTCTTTTGAACGTTGTGCACTTTCAGGTCCACAAAAACATATAACAAAGGAGTCTGACAGGTTTCATAACCATTCCACTCAATTAACTATGGTATCATCAACCATTGGCTTAAGTCACGAAATGAAATGCGAGATCATGCTAAGTATATTACAAAGACTTAAAGAACTTTACAAAATGAACTATCAAGTCTCAAAAAATACTAAAATAAAATAACAAACTCGTAGTCGAAAGACTGACTTGATTTGGCTTTTTCTACCCTGGGTACCAGTGAGACGTGTTGGTTCACGTTTCATTTGTTCACTTGCCTGCGTGCAGACGTCTCCTATTTCCTTTGTTGCACGCGTGCAACAAAAGGAAATAGGAGACGTCTGCACGCAGGCAATTTGTTCACATAATGGCACAAGGTAGGGTTTCTCTCTCTCTCGGAGTCCGCTTCACTGCTATTTTGTTCTGAGGTGGCGGATTACATTCCTAAGGATAAGTTAATTGTTTAACATCTGTTTATCATCCACCAAACCCGTTTGTACATTCCAGGTGACTCCTTTAGATTATTAAACCCTAGCGTCTTTCACACCCATTTCCTGGGTCATCACGCAAGGCTAAACTCCCTTGCGTCACGACACAGGAAACGGAGACTAGTAGGTGTATTCCAGATTTCGCACCATATGTAATCACTGGTAATGTGACATTTTAAACATGATTTTAAAACAATTAAAAATCACAAACCATCAGTTGTTGCTTAAATTATACTCAAATTGTCGATGAGTTTCAGAAGAGAGAGGAAACAAAATCAAACTTATATCCCAGCCCTCTCAACATAAGAGGACAGTGCGGTGGAAGTTTTGTGTTAAGCTTAATGGTTGATGATACAAGGGACCAGGGAGAGTAAGATTTTAGGGGGAAGTGGATGTTTTGTTTGATTCTCGTATTTCATGTACGTGACTTGTTGTCGTCTCGCCTTATTTCAGACATTTATACCTTGTTTTAGATGGTTTTAGATTGTTTGCGAGTGGTTGTAGATGTTTTTGAGGTGGTTGTAGATGGTTGTAGGTGGTTGTTGAATTTTTTGAGGTGGTTTTAGGTGGTTGTAGATGGTTTTAGGTGGTTTTAGGTCGTTCCATGTTTTAGTAACTACGCTGCAGAAGAGCAAGGATTGGCACAGATGGATAGGGTATGGCCTTCTGTGCGAGAGGTCCTAAGCTTGATTCCCAGATGTGACCTCAAATCTTTATTTTGACTTGATTCCTTTTCATATAGCTTTAATTAATTGGCCACTGAAGGGACTATACTACTTCAAGTATTCTCTTTTACCTACAACAGATCCAAGTATAAATAGGTGATTGATATGTGGACGCATTAAATATGTGAATGTGATATGTGGATGCATTAAGCTGCTATTAGAATTGAGGTAGGACTGTTCTTGGAACTTACATGACGAAGGATCCATAGCTCCCCTGTCACTTATAACTAAAGTGTTCCTCCTACAGCCAGCTGCCAAGTCAAAAAATGTCTGCTCTAACTGAAGCAAGGTCTTCATAAGATTTTCCTGAAATCTGTACACTAGAGACAAGCAAAATGAATGAAAGTTAATAATTTAGAATACTTAACATTGAGTATAAAGTCTTTTTAATTATAATGGGCAACAAAGAATGTTAGGGCCAAGTGCATGACATGGCTAATCTTTTCTTCTAATTTCAGTCCCCTTGGTTTTTGGCATCTCTCTGATCTGCATATAGTACTGGGATCAATATCAAACATTTAGGTAGGGATTGCACAAAGGCTAAGTTGAGACAAACTGTCCATAGAAGTAAACCTGTGATAGCTTAGGGGTGTCTATAGGACTCTGCAATGAGGATTTTATTTGCATTTTTAAGGTTGAGGCTGCTCTCCATACCTTCTTCTTCATCAAGATCAGGAAACTTGACACCACCTCTATACCACAAACAAAACAAAAGAATATGAAATAACATGTTAGAACGACATGGAATTCTTGGGAATTGTGGATATCATTGAGTTTTGAAGGTACGGTGAAGAAAACACTTCCCAAAAAGTGCTATCATTATTCAAACTAATGTTACATCTAGACCATCAGTACAAACCTTTTCATTTTCTCTTTTTTAGCTAACTAACCAGTATAATCAGGACTGCTTACAGCCCTGAATGAGCACAACAATAAAATTTTTATAAAAACCCAGTTCACTGAAACATAGTCAACCTTTAAAGTATTACAGTACCCAAGTAGTATGGTAGCTGCTTCAGGCACTCTGTAAACCTACAACATAAGAAAATAGAATAAGATAAAAATATATTTATAAATTAAACTGTGGAACAACTATCATGCATTATCAGTCCTCAATATCATCATCACCTTCCAGCCAAGATTTTCAAAAAAAGTGGACATCATTGCTTGAACTGTTGTCTTTCCTGCACAAGGACCTTTGAACAAAACAGTAAATTACCATAGTCATAAACAAAGTAATGAAAAGAGAAAGATAAGAAAAGGGGCAAAGGGAAGAAAGAGGTTGACCCCCAGGGGGGGTACTCGGGATTTCAAGTGACGGGGATGATCGAATGGAGCCAAAAGTCAAGACCCAAAAAAATCCCTAGGGCTTCCAGCAAAACCCAAAAAAATCCCTGGACCAAAAATTTACCCCCAAAACATCCCATGCCGATTTCTGCAGACTATTGTATGACACGTGCGATGTAAAGCGACACCATAGTTATCTATTAAACAACAGAAAAACAAGTTTGTTTGTACTTTATTCACAGAACCACGCAGCCAGGGCACTACCGATTCTTTTTAATACCCCCAAAAAATCCCTACTCAAATCAAGCTACCTGAGCCAAATTTTCGTACCCTAAAAAATCCCGGAATTGAAAATTTCAAACCCCAAAAAATCCTTCGATCATCCCTGTCACTTGAAATCCCGAGTACCCCCCCTGGGGGTTGACCCGGGGGAGGGGGTAGGATTAGGGTTAGAGTTAGGGTCTTATATGGCCTATGCAGGGATGTGCCACTGGACAGGGTATGGTTTTCATCCTTTCTGTTCTGAAGAGGGTATACAATTTTGTGCGAATCTGTCCTAAACAGAGTATACAATTTCTTGCAAGTCTGTCTTAAACAGTGTACATGTCCTTTGGGCCAAACAGGGTAATAAATTTGAGGGTTTTGTCCTAAACAGGGTGTGTATTTTAATAATTTTTTTATCCTAAACAAGGACAGGGTTTCAAACCTTCAGTGGCTCACCTATAACAAAATATTGGTCAAAAGGAAGGAAAGTAGGGAAGCCTTGTATGGAAATAAGTTTGCATCAATAAATTCCCATTGGAGTAGAGTTGAAAATGCTTGAACGCTTCAAAAATTATTTGCTCCCACACAGGAGCTTGGTGGTAGTTCATCTGACATGCCTTACAGATAAACTTTCTTCCACTGCATGGGATTTATTGCAATAAATTAGCCAGTTTTACTGTCAGGGTTTTTCAAGAAAAACATTGTTTGTGGAGGCGTGTGGCTGAGCGGTTAACACCTTGAAGTCCGGATCTGGAGGTCCGGGGTTCAAGCCATCCATTGTTTCCTTGGACAAGGAGCTTTACTCCACTTTGTCTCTCTTCATCAAGGTGTACAAATGGGTACCGGCGACATACTGCTGAGGGGTAACCCCGTGATGGACTGGCATCCCATCCAGGGGGAAGTAATGGAAACCGGGATAAGCTCTGGCCGTGTGGGCCTTTGTCTCGTGCATGCCTTTATCTTTTACCTTACTGTAAGCATTTTTCAAGAAAAACATTGTTTGACCAAGTCAAACTATCATAGGGTTTTTATATATTTCAGCTGACCCCACTGTTTGGAATTTGCAAAGTCCAAAGAGAACATAATGAAACATTTAGTATTATGCCCAAGTGGGAAAATAATAAATAATCAAAGTTCATGTCAATCTTGTTCCTACAAGAGGGTCCTACCATTCCCTAGAGGCAAGTAGCAGAGAACTCTGAGAACAGAGGACAAGTTTGGGTTCATGTCAGTTATGCAAAAAAAATAATGGGTGATTCCAGAAAATATCCATACCCTACCACGGGTGGCATGAGTATTTTAACCCCCCCTTGCCCTCGGAAATTCCAAAATGCTTATCCCCCCCTTGCCCTCCGAATTCCAAAATTACTAACCCCCCCTCTCTCCGGAATTTTCCACTTTTGTTTCAGACCCTTTGGAATTCCTGTTCGTCTGCCTAAATCTTCAAACGAACGAGAAACTTGCACTTTTTCCCTCTGCAAAAGAATTCTGTTCACAATTTTTAGTCAGACGATCAAGCAACTCAAGTTTGTTAACGTTAGTACACCGTAGCTATTCCTTCTAAGCATTATCTTTAAGCTGCTTACCACCTAATAGAACTTTTTGTTTTCCATTCAATACCGTCATATTTTCAGGAGTAGATCGTATTGATATCAGTTTTGAATTAAACAGCGCATCAAAAGGCACGCTGTCGGATTTTACTACCTACATGTTGGCGTGAAAAATCGGCGTGAAATACAAAATCTGTCAGGCCTTCTATTTGGAAACGAGAGACTGGTGCGAGTTTTCAGCATGCAACAACACATCGTCGATTGGCAATCGGCGAGAAACACCGACTTGGTTATATTTTTATTAATCAGTTGACTAATTCATCAACTTTAAGACCTCTTCGATGTGGAGCTTGCTGCACAACCCATCTGCTTACCCATCTGCATGAACGCATACTTCTTCCGTGGTCGGTTCGTGCTTCATTTACAAACTGGGAATGTTAACAGGTCAGCGATTTCAAGCGGAGCTTTCGCCGTCTTTCCTCTGGAAATTCACTGAATTCAGAGCTGAAACACCCCCCCATGCCTTTGGAATTCCAAACTGCATTACCCCCCCCACGTCTTCGGAATTCCAGTCCAAGAAACCCCCCCCTCTCCCTCGGAATTCCAAGATGCCGCCCGTGGTATGGTATGGATATTTTCTGGAATCACCCAATGGACTATTTGGGGGGTTGGGGGTAAGCAGAGTGCATTCTGGGTGGTTTAAAAATAAAGAAAACAGATAGCCTTTTACAGGATGAGGGATATGGATGAATTGATTATTTATTAATGTATAATCCACGATTTTCTAATGAAGGTTGGCTGATACCCAATCTTGAATTAAAATACTGTTAACAGCTGTGGACTTTCTTTGACAACTTTAACGTAAATCTTGCAAGTTCATTGTCAGGGAAAATAAATCTTTGCTATTTATGTAAACTCTGTTGTTGTTTTTTTAAGAGCGGAAGCAGAATACACGGCTTGATGTTCAATATTATTATTAATCTGTAAGCTTCAGTCATGTGGTCCTCACATGCATGTTGATTTTTTCTTTTTAAATTCAAAACACCTGTTCTCTTACAAAAATAATAAAAAAAGATAAGATTTCAGCGCAGTTCCTAACCTTATCAGCTCACTATAATGTGTATATAAGAATTCTTCTTCTATCCCTTATTAATGCAATGTAAACAACCATATTACCTGTATGTTCACATAGAATAAGGGCTGTGCGAAAGTCTTACCATATGGCTCTAAGACAGTATAACAGCTATTTTGAACATAAAAATCAAACAAACCTCCAGTCAGGACAACTTTATAAACTCTGCTGTCATGTTTTTGCCCTTCCAACTCCTCCATGTCTTGAACACCATTTACAGCGGAAATCATATCTGCTGTATCTGAAGACTGAGCTATTCACGTTATGTTTTCAATATAGCAACACAGTTATAATAAAATCCGCTGTATTTTCGCTAAATACAGTAGTTTATCAACCCAGAAATTCGATGAACGGCGAACAGGACGGAAATGTTTCCAAAAAGAGAGCAAATTTCCTGATGAACTTTCCGGGTATTTCCCGGATGAACAAAACCGAAACACGCGGGAAAGCGGCTCAGACCAGCGGTTACTACAAAAATAATTATATTCTAAGAAAAATGGATCAAAAGATTTTGTAAATATGTGAACTTTTTACACTAAATTGTACAGCTTTTCCTAGGATGGCAGAATTTTTGGAGGCTGATGAGACCAATTGTAGCAGTCAAGATTCAATTGAAGTTGAAATTGTTAGCGAGGAGGAGTTTGAAGCGATAGATGCTGCAATACAGGAAGCTGCCATGCAAGGTTTAATAGTTGAATAAGTTTTGCTTCCTGTTTCATAGACTATATAAACTAATGGCTTATTACTTAGAAATTCCGCATCGTTTAGTTCAATAAATTTATGAATAAAAAAATCTAGGATGCTTAACATTTACACAAAACATCCAGTTGAAAATCTATGGCCAACATTTTCTGACAGTTTCCAAACAGAACATTGCAAACAATAATATATTTAAGTATCCAATCAGAATTTCTAGTTACCTCATGTACAAGTACCAATGATTTGCCCCCCTCCAGGGAAGCTTTACATGGGGAGGCTCTACCCCCACCCCTTAACCCTCTTTTTTATCACTTTTGACTGAAGAGGTTTCCTTTCATGTACCTTCTACTGAAGAGTACCCTCTCCCTCTGGGTCCCTGCAGTTCCCAAGTCACTCCACCCTTGACTATCACTACATCATTGAGAGAGTTGACTGTACCTATGCTCTAATCTCATACCCAGATCTCACTCTGTCTTATGCTTATTTCCCTTGGCCACAGGAGATCTGGGTACGAGATTACCTATGCCCTACCGACTGAACCACCAATCATTTTGAATCATCAGAGGTTGAAGCCACTTCCAGAAAAACTAGGCCAGGACTTCTAACCCCTCTGGATAAGTTTAGAGGTGGTTTGGGATATCTAAGTGTCAGTGATTTGACAGCACAGTTCTGGTGTGAGCAACAGATGGAGTACAACTTCTTGGCTCCAGAACCAAAACCAGAGACTGTACAAATGCAATTAGGGAAAGATATCCACATGGCAAGAGGTAACCTAGTCAATAAATTTAATTTCTTGAAATTTTTATAGTGCATTTGAGTATCTAATTATACATTTTGGGAAATTTGTTATAACTGCAAATGGTAAATTATAATAATTATTGTTATTATTAATTAAGCAGTTTAAACTGCTACTGTTATGTTCCTCTAACATAAACTGTTTTACCTGATTGTCAAAACCCACTTTGTTGTAAACAAAATAATTACCAGAAAGGCTAAGGGTTGGGAACTTGTATAGTAACAGTCATTAGTGTTTGCTACAGGTAATAACAATAATTATTATTTGGTGGGAATAGGAAATATTGTTGTTTAGAAAAAGGACAATTATGATGTTATTTTGCTATGGTGGGGATCCCATTTTCAAAGTGTTAAATTTCACATAACTCACAGTCCCATTCAAAATTCCATCCAGTGACAGGCAAAATCTCAGTCCCAGTTATTCAAATCCCATTTTTTCCATTTCGAAACTAGACACAAGTTCATTAATTAACCCCTTTGAGGCACCTTTAACCATGGTATCGCTCAGAAGATTTTTCTCACAAGGGAGGGATAGTTCTGGTTAGCCCCAAGCTGAAGCCGTCTATTATTACAAAGTAACTGAGTTTTGAATTTCATATTTTACAGAGCTGGAGTTATATGATGTTGTAGACATCAAGATAGAAAGCAAAGAAGACAAGTGGGCAACCAGGTTTCTCAACTGCCTCAATAAAATGGCATTCTTAGATGCACAGCAAACAATTAGAGAGCTTCCAGTCTTTGGAGAACCCTTTCAATTGGGAGTATTTGTATATGGCATTATTGATGAATTGCACTTCAATGAAATGGGACAACTTGAACTTTCAGAGCTGAAAACCAGAGCTAGCAACAACAGCTTGCCGTCTAAAGCACAGCAGAACAAAAACTTCTTACAAGTTATGCTCTACAGTATCATGTTCAATGACTTGCTGGAAGGGAAGTTAGCTACTACCACACTTCTATCAAAATTTAATTTAAATGGCCTTGCTGCTCTTTCAGAAGATGTTGTCAAATTTGCCAACGAATTGAGAATACCATGTGCTAAGCTCATCCAAATTGCTGACCTGATGTTAAGTAGATTCAAGACATCAAATATACCCAAAATCAGTTCTGTAGTAGTTGAGTACTGTTCTCAGTTCAGCCATGAAGAAATACATAAAACTTGTTTGCAACTGGACGAGAGCTGGGCACATTCTAAGCTGGTCACAATGCTACCATACTGGAAAGGAGAAAGAGAAACTATTGGAGTGGAAATTGAAGAAGCTTGGAAATGTCATCGATGTGAATTTGCAGACACTTGTATTTGGAGAATGAAGAAAGATGAAGAGTGTAGGAAATTAAAATAAGATTTAATGCAAAAACTGTATAACAGGGGCAGGGTGGCCAAGCAGTTAGAGCCCTGGACTTGCAATTCGGAGGCCCAGAATTCAAGTCCCGCCCTGACTGCTTGCTGAGTTCAAATCCTCAACCATGCTTGTAAGTAGCCAACTGGTTTGCCTCCAGCCAGTTGGGATTATGTTAAATTTAGATTATTTGTTTTAGGCATTTGTTCGGCCCCACCAGCATCAATGCTATAAATACTGCTGAGGGTAAACAAAGGATATTAATACTGTCAAACCTCCATGTGCCACCACCTCTCACAAGCAATCACTTCTCATAAGCGATCATTTATCCCAAACACCAAAATTTCCCTGTAAAAGCCCTGTAGTTGGAACCCTTCATAAACGACCACTTCTGGTAAGCAAAGGCAACACTTTTTGGGGTGATGGTTTTATAATTATCCATTGTTTTTAACATCCTGTAGACAATCAATTGACCCATGATCTGATCTCTAAGTTAGCAGTACATGTATGTACTGTGCTACCAAGAGAATTCAAAGAACTTTTAGCATCAGCATAGAGCTAAACATATATACACCTTAGCAACTTAGAAACTGTATGTAATATATTTTTTTGTACCAAAAAGTAGATGTCTGGGGACCTCTTCTTGAAAGAGACTCCTGTAATTTAATTCTTGTAAGATACCACCTCTCATAAGCAACTGCCAACTAAAAATGTTCGCATTTTGGGTGGTCGTGTACCAGAGGTTCAACTGTAATAAAATGGATAAATAATCTGTAGATGACTAATTGAATTGATATGATCTCCAAAGGTTGTGTGGCAGAAAAGTCAAAACTTTGGAGTTCCAATCCCAAGGCCCTGAGTCTGCTGACAAAAGCTGTTTCTTGTTATTCCTGAATTTTAATTAGAATATTATGCCCTTTACTCAACATCAAAGCTTTTGTTATTTTGAAACATTTCATTAATATTTTCTAATTTTTCTCTCCAAAAGAGAAGGTTCTATTTTCTTTAAAATCCTAAATAAATTTAAATATTAACATTCTACAGTAGTGTTAATTTCTTTTCATTGTCTTCCTTATTGGAAATATTTAGAAAAATACTCTGACTAATAATAATGTCAACTTCACATAGAGTTAACTATCAAAACATTAACTTCCTAAAAAAAAAATCGTAGTTTTAAGCTAACTCTTGAATCTTTGAATAGAATCTCCTGGTGTGACCATTCAGATAAAGCACCTTTAGTGGTATTATTTTATTTAGTACGCAGTTCTAACATTTTTTGTGTCTGTGGGTGAAATCCAGCCTGTGGTTTGACCTTTCAAACTAAAACCTCTTTCCTTTCTGGGCAGTATGGTTAGTTAATGGATGTTGATGAGTCGTAAAGAAGAGCATCTTTATTGGTGTATCCTGCCGTTGATATGGATCCATAGGTGTTGGCTGGGTCGTTAAGTAGTGCGTTTCCTCTTCTTTGTGGCGGACGATTTAAAATGCCACCCTAAGAGAGTAGGAAAAAAAATTAAAAAAGAACGTCACTAATTCTTTCTATGCCTGACAATCTTAGCACTTACTTCAATTTTCAGTATTAACAAATTATTTATTTACTGTCTCAAAATTGAAATTGCTCTTTAAATAACCTCTGTGCAATGGTCACATTGTTATGGTTAAAATGCAGTTTCTTCATAAGCAATATAATCCATTCAAACACCTAGCCAGGCCTACTTTAGGAAAGGCATAACTGATACTTTTACTTACAATATCAAAGTACACCTGAACAATACATAAAAGTGTAGGAAGAACGCACTAAAAGAAAGTTTGAAGTTTTAATTTTTTCTGCTGTGAAGTATTCTGTGAACCCATCTGCGGTAGCAAAATTCAAAACTCACATCTACAAAGTAGACATTTATGATTCATTTTAAACCCCACACTTAGAAAATGTTGTCTACATGGTGATGGTTGTGTTGAGGTTTGCTTGCAAAACTAGCATTGGTTAGTTACAAAAACGATCTTTCACCCTACTTATATCTTCAGTGATTTGTAATGAAGTGCGATTATCATACCCTTCTCTTGTCATTGATGTTGAGCAAAATTGCCAAGGTAACACATGCAAGAGTGTTACTTAAGAGAAAGATCATCACATACTTCCATTTGTCTTCAGAGCTATAAAAAAATATAGTAAAAAACAGTGAAAAGTTGGAGATGGGTATTTGCATTCATGCAATAATTATGTGATTCTCCAAATTCATGATAATTTTGTGATTACTTATTTTTTGGAAAAAAATATGTCAATGTTGCCCTGAAATGTTGACAGTTTAATAATGATAATAATAATGATAATAGTAACAATAATAATAATGATTGTTATTATTATTATTAATAAATATTTTTATTGCTATTGAATGTTTTTACAACTTGAATGGCTTACCACATCATATTAAATATAAAGTGAAGATGGTTTGAAAATAAAATCTACCTCAAAATCAGCCTGGACTTCAGGGTGGTCATTAGGCATCGGAGATCAGGGAATTCTCCATTTACCATGCATAATTCTCTTTCTCAAACATTTGGTAGCCTATGACTATTTTATATTCAGATGTGGAGCCTCTTTCAAAACATTCTTCTGTAATGTTACACCTTTCTCCCACTACTAGAATTCTTAATGAAAACCCTGAGACTTGGCTTTGGTTCTGTATTTTATGGAACGCAATAGTTGTCGAAAATTTGTAAAACATGTCAAAACGATGTAAAAAAACTATAAGTTAAGAGGCAGTGGTAACAGGCTCTTGACTGTTAATTGCATGTGGGGACATACAAAGGAGATAAAAAATAAATGGTTAGGGGTGAGGAACATACCAGATTTTTTCACGAACCACCATCTTCAAACCCATAAGAAATCTCTGTATCAACAACTGCATGGTAATTTAAGGTGGCTGAACACAGTTTTGGCATTTTGTGAGTATATGTCATTTGCCAAATCATGGCAACAGAAAGGTTGCTGTTCACCAGCTGAAACTTGGCAAGTGAAACATACACTGATGAAAGATTTTGGTTGGCAGGTAGAATTTGACGTTTTCTTAGTTTCCATGGCAACACGAACGATTGAATACAACCTTAAAATTTCACTTTTGCTCAGTTTACATAAAATTCACTCATTGGATTTTCCTATAAACTTGCACACAGCTGATTATAATTAATCATTACCATTTGAAACTTATTTGACCAAATTTTAACAGATGGGTTTTTAGATAATTATTGATAATATAATTATTGTACTTTAATTATTAAACGTGTTACAAAATTTCCACTTCAAAGTTCTCATTACCTAAAATACAATAAAAGGAGAAATTCTGCCAAATATCACAAAATTTTAATGAGCAGATTTTGAGAAATCGTCTTCTGTATACCATTGCCTTTTTGCTGCCATGTTTGTTTGTCTTATTTAAAAGATGCGTGGTCACGCGAGTTACCGCTGACCGCCCTCAAAACTGTGTTCAGCCACCTTAAAGTCTGTAAAATAGGTAGTAGCAGACAGTGTTGAGGTATCTTTTGACTTGGATACAGCAAAGATTGTTGCCAGAGATTTTAAATATACTACTAAAAATTAATGTGATAACCTCTGCCCGCAAACAAGCTCTCCTATTGGACAAGCAAAGTGAGCTGCGTGAGAATGTCTCCTCTCGTGTGCCTCTCGGGAGTGTACTTTTCACAATATCCCCAAAATGGTGAACTTGCCTGCAGGCTATTAATGTGCTGGTACTGCTAACTGTATCTACACTATTGTAAAGGGCTTTTCCTGTAGCTAAATCATTTACTATGGCATAGGAAACTTCCCAAAATTATGAAGATGAACAATGAACAGATGCTCTTTACCACTAAAAGAGAGGACCACTAAGGCCTTACTTACTTTATGAGATCAAGCATTTTTCCTACAATGATATTTGCTATTCCCATGCCTATCATCTGTATGGATGTTGTGAGGCCCAGTGCAGTTCCTTTTAAAAAGAGAGAAATTTAAAGGTAGCTGTTAGCATTGCTAATTGCTTCTAGAACAATAATTATATCAGTTTTTTAAAAAACTCACCAACAGTTGCCTGGTCCACGATGAGAGGAAAAGATGGCCAAAGAGATGCCTACAGGAAAGCAAGAAAATTACTCCTGCTATTTAATGAAATAGTATGTTAGCAATTATAATAAAGACTAATAAGCAGCATTCAATAACCATAAGCTGTTGGTGGTTACAGAAAGTATGTTGTTTTCCTGGTCTCCATTGTGACAGGTTATAACACAATAGGGCCATTTATACAAGGAAAAATAAGATGCGCCTTACATAAGACGCGTCTTAAATAAGACGCGAACTTTCCGTATAAACGGCACCTTTCGTCTAAAATAAGACGCGGCTTAGCTAAGACGCGTCTTATTAGATAAGATGCTCGTATAAATGGTACAGTTCGCGTCTTATTTAAGATGCGTCTTAAGTAAGACGCGTCTTATTTTTTCTCGTATAAATGGGCCTATTAACTGTAAATTAATTCTGAAAAACCCTATCAGGAAAATCACTAGAATATATTGTATTGATATTTGTACTTTGATCAACTGTTCAAAATACCTTAATTAAATTAATTATATAAATAAAATACACTTTGGAGTATTGATGCAAAAAACAAGATGCTCACTGTCTATAAATAAATAAATTTTAAAATATATATAGAAATAAATACCATTAAATTTGGGCCCGGGTATGTTGATCATGGATGGAGCTTACTGTATCTTACTACAATTCCTCTTTAATGTAATAATAATCCAACATTGCAAACAGGTGAAGAATTGTTAGGAGGTCAGTTCCCAGTTGTTCAAAATGTAATTTGCGATTACACCGTATTATCATAAATTACTATTTTGCCGGCACGTATCAGCGGTCTGGGGAGGGTGTTAGTGCGCACTGAGTCATGGGATTCGAGTTTGTAATTCGTGGTCGTTAGGAAGGTGAGGCATTCTACGGTCAGCCTTCACCGTGTTAGGTTGCTTTTCTCTCTTTTATTTTATTCGTGTGTTTATTGATGTTTATAGTTTAGGCACTAGCATACCCTAAAACCCCAAGGGTTGCACCACTGCCTTGGTCGGGGGTACACGTTCCCTGTGTTTTTTCTACCTGCTGGTTTTTTGGGGTTTTCGTGTCCGGCTTTGGTGCTTCTGTTCTTTTGTTTATAGATATTACTTGATATTTGTACATATCTGCATATATGTTGAATAAATGGCACGGTGGCTTGGCTGGCCCATGCGCCCATATATGAACATTGTTGTCTTGTGTGTACCGGTTGAGTAGTGGAGGCAAAATAGATGGATAGTGCTGTCCACTGGATAAGTCACTTTCCAGTACAGGTACAGAATAAGGAAAACCAATAATTTGTGTTATCCAGTGAATAGAAATTTATCCAGTGGGTAGAGCTATCCCCTCTGAAAAACTGGTGCTAGAATTACATGGTATCCCTGTGGTTTTGAACAGTGCTTACAATCTTTCTATTTTGTTGGTGGAAATAAAGTTTAGTATTAGAATGTCGACCAACAAAGTTTTAATGAACTTACTGCAGCCATGGAATAGGCAAAGCCAAGCCAAATGGTGCAGATAAGGGGATGAACATGAGGTGCAAAAGCCAGTAACCCATAAACAGGGATCGTAAGCAATGCACAGAGAAGTATAAGGATTCCTCTACGTCCAAAATAATCCTGTAAAAAATGAAAGACACCATCAAACCTCTATTAAGCAGCCACCCTCTACTTAGTGGCCAGTTAAATAAGACTCCCTGTATACAAAATTGTCAGAAAATCACTGTATTAAACAGAGTCTCTTCTAAGTAGGTTTGACTTGTCCCTTTCCTGAGGGCGACCCTTAATAGAGGCTGTAAGTAGTTTAAGACGGAATCCATCAGGAAATTGTCCACTGAAAATTGAAATTACCCAATTTTCTAATGGATTCCGTCTTAACATGTCTATGTGAGTATGGCAACATAACATTTCACTGTCAACAGAACTAAAGCAGTACTTTGTCAGCAACAAATAAAATATTGGTTTCTTTTTTAATTCAAGTTTAGAGAGAGGTTTGTAATTCTAGGGCTTATGGTACTAACAAACCATAATCTTATGAACAAAAGGTCATCAAATGCATGAAAATTGGACACACATTAAGTACAGAATAGCTCCACAGTGGGGAAAAAGGCGAAAAAGAAAAATCAGTGAGCGAAGTATACCAAGCGAGAGCATGGGAAAGGGAAAGGGTGGTGGAGCCTGGAGACATGCCTTTGACACTGCTGATATGCCTTCCACAAAAACTGTCAGTGATATTTCAACACATTAAGTTCTCAACAGATGTTTCTTCATTCTTATAGCTGTGAAATGCAGCACGAGTCGATATATGTCGCTTTTATAAAAAAAATATTGTAATGCGCCGGGATGAAATAGAACAAGGTCCCTCAATTTCGCAGTATAACAAGTGATCGACCAACCTTGTGAAAAGGATTTTAGCCTACCTAAAAACTGCAAGGACTGACAGGCCGTGTATCATCACTGGCAGAAAACAATTGAAAATCTACATATTGCTACAACAAGGAGAACTCTTTCAGGAATTTTACACTGTTAAATAATGATTAATAATCATCCACAATCGCTGTTATCTCTGTACAGTTCTGGTTTGCGCAATCACAGATCATAAGGTTCAGCTGTGTGCAACATGCAGTCTTTTAATATATCCACTGGTTTTTGGTATTTATCATGCATTTGGCAGGTGCATGATTATAGAGCTGTGCCTTTTGAATGTTGGTTTATAACTCAACCACTTTGTAAATGTTACCCTGGTTTATAACAGGAGAACAAAAAGAGCTTGATATTTTAAATGCGTGTTTTTCTTCTTTCAACAGAGCACAGGCATATTTCTTCTTTTCTTGGAGCAGAGGGGTATGCGAAAAAACTCGCGAAGAAATTATTATCTTCCAATTTAATATGCTCATAATCCATGTTTACTGTCTAAAAACACAAAGCTTTCCCAAATTGAAAAAGTGTGTGAATTCATCTGTCAACAGTATGACAAATCTGGCAAACAATGAGACATTTGACCAATCAGAGCATGATATCAGAATATGGTATCATGGAACAGCGGCATCAAAGGCGTGTCTCCAGGCTTTCCCCCTCTTTCCCCCTCCCCAGTCCACCACTCAGCTCACTTTGCTTGCCAAATTTTTTTTTGCCGTACACCCTTTCCCCACTGCGGAGCCTGGTCCCACACTCTGTATACCAAGGAAAAGTGTTTTTCTTTGTTTGACACTTCATACACATCTTACCACAAACAAACCCATCAAAGGTCCAAAAACCATGGACATCAAATACACAGAGCCAGCAATGTATGCAGATTCCTTCTTGGTGAAGTCAAAAGTGTCTCTGTAATTCACATATATGAACTTGCTGCAAAAAGAGAAAAGTTAATGTTACAAGAAAACAAAGCATTATATTGCTTAAGGCAACTTAAAAAAATAAATAATCAAAATAAAAATGATGATGATGATGTCTATATTTATAATGATAATGATAATAAAAAAGACACATTTTAAAGACAATTTAATTAAAACAATGAAACATGTTTGTACCTTGCATCTGCAATAAATGGAAAGACTCCAATATAAAAGAACATAAGGCAAAAAGCCAGAAGCCAATATGTAGAGGAAAAGTGCTTGATGTCTGCAATTCTCTGAAATAATAACAATTGAAAATAACTGATAAAATAAAATAATATAATATAATGTATTTTTAATGTCTATACTAAGTTACTTACCACCTTTTTGGAATCAATTTTCATCTCTGTTGTCTACAAGAAAAAGCAAGATAATGTAGATAAGTATTTTGCTCTCTTGTGTGGTAACAATTAAGTCTAAATGATAAGCGATAATTTCAACAGTGAGTAAAACTGTTTTCTCTTGCTGGGAATCACTTAATTTTTTGGGGACCTTAGGCAAATTGCATGCAATAATGTTTCTCAAGATCAAAAATTTGTACAACAAGAAAGCTCTTACAGCGGCATTCAGTCTCCCTTGCTTGGAGATTAGATCGAGAACTGAGGAGGTGATTAATTCTACACAAAAAAGTATTTATTCACTGAACGTTTTTTACTTCCTACTTTATCGACATCGATACTTTTTATTTGTTTCTGAACTGATTTTTAATACGCGTGTTAGCGACAACCAGAAATACCTCTGTTGTCGTAGGCTATATGCATGTGTAAATACACAAAAATTCAAGGGTCTCGATTCCAGAGAAATTACATCATTTCCAGAGATCAAAAAAGTGATTTACATGGCACGTCATTTCAATCATCACCAAAAATAAACTGCATGCTCATACAATGAAAGTTTACAACACCCGACCATTGCAGTTTTGCTAATTAAGATTCTTATTTTCTTTTGACCACTCAGTAGTGTTCACTTGTTCCAAAGTAATCAACTCTTTCAAGCGATAGAATTCATGGACCGACACATTTCAGGAAAGCTCTAAATTTACTCTTTCCTAAGTTTTCTTCACAAAACATGCATGGCTTCGATCACGCAACGAGTCCTAGTCCCAGTTTCCACGGTCTCCACTAGGAACGCCTGGCACAGTGACCCCCCTTTTGCGTCCTAAATACAACAAAAAACTCGTTGCAGATTATGAGTCTTGCTGCTTCTACAAGCGAGACTAAAGAAAGTAATGGTCTACGAATCATAATTTATGAGAATACCCTATTCAGTTGCTTCAATCCAGTAACATCCAGAAATGATGCCACTACTGCACAAAAAACTCCAAACCCACACAAAATAGCTCCTGTAAAATGACAAAAATCTCTCATGGCTTAAAAGTTCTAATAATTAACATTCAGGATAAATCTCAAAAATTATGCTAAGAAGACGTCTGGTAAAAACCTATGAACATAGTAACCTTCTAATTACAAAAAATTGGTTGGACAAATTCGCTATAAAAACATTATGAATTCAATACCTGCCCATAACGTCAATTGAAGACCATGCCTTTCTTCAAATCGTTCTGTCAGAAAAAAGTTTAACACACTACCCTGCAAAAAATTAATAAAATTATGATGATATTGATGATAATAATAATAATAATTTTTATAATTATGATGATTTAACAATTTTGTGAGACAATCACTTACAGTTAACATAGAGGTACTATCTAATATAGGTAAATGGTTGGCAAAGTTCTTTTTTCAATTCCCTACTAGCAGAGTTCTCTCTGAATTTTTTAGAATCACTAAGTTAAAAAAAGGTTTACCAAGTTAAAATTTAAATTTACCTTAAAAAATGTTACCAAAAGGAAATAACTGTAGCATTTCACATGGTGACAAAAGGTGGAACAGTAAAATTGCCTGTGGGGATGTTGGTGAAAGGTAATATTATTGGGAGTTGGGGGAGCTTCCTTCTTTTTCTGCTCCAACACCCCTCTCCATGGGCAAATTGTATTCTCCCTAGATTTCAGTCACCATATGACTATGTGGCAACTTACAAGTCTTGAAAACGCCAAAATGCATCCAAAAGCAAAGGCAAGCTCCTTTCCTTTGAACCACATAGCACAAATCCTATTTTGAACAACTGAGGGTAAAAAAAACATGATTTGCAAACTGCCATTGATAGCTACTTTCCAATCTAGACAGTTCATGGGCAAAACCAAATTATTGGGAGAAGTTGTTAAAAAGTATTAGCATTAGTGCTTCAGTTTATCAAAGTTCACTTTAAGACGTCTAACAATCACTTTTATTCTTTTTGATGTTCCCAATCCCCCTTTTTCAAAGCTGGGATATGACCAAAACACCAAAATTAATGAGCCATAAATGAAAAGTTCAGTAATGTCAATCGTCAATGATACAGGGAGGTGGAGGGGTCCAATAATACAGAGTGAAAAAGGATGAAAGTTCATAGTGTTTCTCGTGATAAAAATGTTAGTGAAAGCAAACTTGTCAGGCACTGTACTTACTTGTTAAGGCACCATTTCCAGATCTATGGAGAAAAAAAAAGAAAGCAAGCAGAAGTTGTTCTAGATTTCAAAATCATCAACAGTAACAGAAATAAATAGATTTTACTCAATACTACAAAATAACATGTATTTGAAGCTGTGTGCAATCATTAAGCAATATTTTAATGTGCAGGCACTTATATAATAGTCAAACTTACCCAAACATAATTCTTCCCAGCAGAAAAAGAGGAAACATTGCTGCCCCTCCTTTGAAGTACAGGCCAACCGCAAACACAGATGTACCAGCCAAACACATAAATGAAAACAGCAAGGCACCAACTAAGACATAAAAAAAAGAATTCAGAAAATGCAATAACTGAGTGAGAAATATTTTACCTTCCAGTTCACTACACACAGTGCCAATTAAAATTATTAATATAGCCCTGGGTTCTTGATGATAGCCCCGAGAATTTCTCGTAAATTGATCACACACATATTGGAGGGCTTTAATAAAGCAATCTGCTTTATAATATTAAGGTGGGAAAAACTATAGTTTGATCTATTTGGTCCACTGAAGAATTCTGCAGTTTGGAGCTAGCAGACTAAACCTGCCCCCTTGTGATTTCATCCATATTGCAGCTGTATGCCATGTAAGACCTCATAATGATAAACCAAGCAAAGATCTAGAAGATTGACTGAACAAATCTAACATGATATATACTTATTTGAAAGGGGAAGCTACTCACTTGGATTTCCCAGTTTATCAATCAGAAAACCAGCAAGGATTACAACTATTGCATTCCTGAAATTTAAAAAAAGGGAATGAAAAAAAGGTAAATATTCATCAGCCATCTTGACTGCACAGGTTTGGTCAATAAGCAGGAATAATATTATAAGGCCAGAAAGAAACCTCAATTGATCCAAGACGGACCAATTGAGGTTTCTGGGTATATGACCACCTTTCCCTCCCCTAAGTCAACATTAACACTTACTTGTCACTTAGGGCAAAATTGTGACTTAGGGGAGGGGTAGGTGGTCAGTTACCCAGAAGTTACCTGAATAATTAATTCACAAAGTTTTCTTTTGCAGAACAAAGTATGAAATCCTGAGCAGGCAAAATATGCAAGATAGGCCCTTCTTGACTGCTCGAAGCCAATCAGAACATTAGATTTGCTTCATCTTGCTTGCTCACAGGGCCAGCCATATAACTAACATGGTTACTTCCAGATCAAATGCTGCGACTGCCAGGTTACTTAATTTGGTGAAACCAGCAGAAACCTTAGCACGTGATGGACCAAACACAAATGAGCGATGAGAAATGGTGACATCAACAATCACATTACTGAGCACCATTTACAGATGAAACATCAAATCGACTGGGACTCTGCGACATGTGTTACGTATTCTACAAACTACTATCAACGACTCACTTTAGAAAGCTGGTTTACTAACTTAGAACAAACACCACTGAATCGTAATCAACAGTTATCGGCACCGTACAAACGACTTATTGACGGAATCATGCAAAACTAACCATGAGAGAATGACTGGACAACTGACAATTTGACTAACAATAAAGAACTGTTTAACACTGTGACAATTGACAGATCAAAACACACCAATGACATTACGAGTCTTTATAGCCAATAACATCATGGCTTAGCCAACAGATGGCCAATAACATCACGACTTAATTGACCAATCAGGTCAATCACCAGAGTTTAATACCATCAACTAATGTGATACAACTAACTTTGACTCTGGAGATGACTACTGCACAGATTTTTGAAACATCAGTCACTGTACTCAACAACAACAGTTCTATTGAGGACTAAGTTCATCCGGACGATCACACTCAACCTACTTATGATTAGTTCCCTCTTGAACCATTCAATTTAGTTACTTACGTCCAAGCATAGATTGAATACAGTAGATTGTACTGTGTTTCAGTTAATCCCAAGCCACTGGTGCAGTTGGTGCCATTGCTGCGCAAACCCGAGGCTGGCTTGCCATCGATAGTGGTACAGTTGTGCATCGTTTTGTTAGGGTGTAGTTGCTATTACAAAGAAGCAGAAAGGTGTTGAGAAATAACTAATGATGTTTAGCTTCTTAATTAATCTCCAGTTGCCTTTCTAGACTAATGGCAACAGACAACTGATAAGCAAATCTCTAAAATATGGGAGTACTATGAAAAAATGAATGATTTGCAAACTTTTCAGCTTTTTATCATAAGCTGCAGTTTCTACCAAAAAATTATCAAAAGCACTTACTGCAGTGAAGGTATCCTGTAAGACACTGTAAAATAAAATAATGTACTATTACCATGGATAAAATTAATGTAATGTGCATTATGTACACAGTTAACGACAATCACAATCTGTGTAAATTTCAGTAATTTGCACCTGTTTCTAACCTGAGATCAGGCTCAATTTTAGCAACTTTCGTGCATTCTCTCTTATGCGGCTGCACAAAATACAGCTTTCTGTTCGTTTCGCCTTGCCTGTTAGAATTGCTTTGTATTTAACTTTAACTTTATTATTCCATCACTCATATAGTACAAACTCAGTAAAGCCAAAGCAGGGGGCTTATACGGCCTGTGGTCAGAATGACAGAAATTATTTTACATAGAAATGAAGACTGCAGGTTAAACTACAAAGCTAAAACAAGATACAAAACTGAAATTGCCAAGCAAAACTAAAATGGAAGTGGAGCCTTCATCTCGTGTTAACTTGAGTCTTAATTTCTAGTTGTCAACACATACAAACTAAAGTATTTATGTCTTCCATCCTCACAAACAGACGTCACATATATGTTATATATGGATAATATAAATTGTATAAATTGAAAAATTAAAATCAAAGAGGGAGTTACATGTAAAAGTGACTTTACCTTGGCATATCAAAACAAAAGTAAGAACCAAACGTCATCATACATGTGAAGATTAGTAGCACAAAACGAAAAGGCCCTGAAAAAAGGGAAATTTATGAGGACATCAGAACGTTTCTTGGAAACCTTCAAACCAAAACCACAACCAAAACACAACCTCTGCTTGCGTGCAAGCAGCTTTCTCTTCGATCTTGCAAGAATCGTGTAACATTAGGATCGAGATCATTATTTTCGTTCGCCATCTTTCCTTGAACAGGAAATGCCAGAAATATGATATCCTACGTTAAAAATTCAGAAAAAACATTTTAACCTCTACTGGCGTGCAGACAGCCTTCTCTTTGACCTGGAAAAATTGGGTCAAGATAATCGTCACGTCCTCCGTCGTCCATCTTGACTTCCTTCCTGATCCTGATCCTGATCCTGGGGGAGAAAGACTGGTAAGAGCTTAGTAACCAGGTCAGTTTTAAAATGGCGGCTTTCATGCATGCTTTTCTTCTTTCTTGGACAACGATAACTTCACCATTTTTTTGAAGTTTCAGTGCAGACAAGATGAAATGAGCTTGTCAAGTTTATTAGTGATCCTTCGAAAAGGCTAAAGAAATGGAAGTGTAAGAGAAAAATCAGTAGTTTTGCTAGGATTGATTGAAGCTTCCAACGTTTCGTTTCATGTGGTATATATACCAGACCAAAAAGCATTTTTTTGTGTTATCCATTTTTTTTAGACTTAATGAGAAAGCTGCTATGTTGAGTAATTATGAGGTGTTCCAGTTGTTACAGGAAACAGAAAATCAAACTAAAGGGGGCAATCCAAAGAAGAGGCAGGCAAAACACCTTGTCAACTTGTCGACAATATGCTATGAGGTTAGTTTGAGCCGGGAAGTCCAAGATGTGCCTCCTAAAGTGATAGTGAGAAGGGTAGTGGAAAGTTTAGCCAAAAAACGGAGAATAAGGTAAACTGGTTATCACCCCTCCCCAATTACCACACCCCCAAAAATAATCCTTAGTAATGAGTAATGAAGGGGAAGGGTGAGGGGGGTGGGGGGGGGGGGGTTCCCTTGTGTATAGGTTAGGGTTGTCAGAAAGGTTTGAAATTGACAGCTGAGTTGTCAAAGTAAGTGGCCAGTCCAGGGATATTTTATTTAAAAAATGCCATCTATAAAGAAATGCCAGGCAGAATAGCCGGCTGATACTAACCAAGTAGGCAGTGATTTTTGCGGGTAGCCGGCCACTTTTGACAACCCTGATAGGTGTGTGTCACTATAAAGCATGATGATATTTAAGTGTAAAGAAGGGCTATGGAATGGAAGTACCGGTCTTTTGTGCATCCTGACCTATGATGCAGTGTTGCAGTCACCCAGCTTATTACCTGGAAAGCTAATAAAATATATAAAAACATCATTTGCATTTTACATGTGCATGCATTTGTACTTAATTGCAAATGCACGATTGCAAGAACACCAACTTCTTAGGCTTATTTTATGCTATAGGAGATTTTTGGGTTGCAGTATGTTTCCTGATTTATAACATTCGGATTTGCAGTTGTTTACACACAACAATATTAATCCAAGAACATTCATTCAGATGCAAAGTATTCACACTACATTTGGTATTTAAAAGTTCTGGAGACATGATCAAACCAGCTTTTGGTCAAGCATATGAGTGTGGATGGCAGAACAGATCTGACATTAAAATGTTTTAGTTTCCTACCCTAATATCTCAGCTAGCCTGGGAGGCTGAGAGTTGATTCTCTATAACAGTTACTTCTGTGAACTAAATAACTGTCAAGTGGCAAAATTATTGATATACTGGCTATTCAAAAATAAAATATTAATATATGAGCAGGACTGTCATTAATTTTTAGAGCAGCCATAGCAAATAAAGATTCACCCATAACATCTCCCTAAAACTTTATAGTGTCACCTTTAGCTTTCCACTTTGATCACCCATAAAAACAAGTAAGCTCAGCTGTAACAGGTGTTATGGGTTATGGGTTATGGTTATGGGTTTCAGCAAGACCTGAAAAATGGCCTTAGCCATGGAGAGATTCCTTCCCTGGAAATGTCCAATTTAATCTAAGAGTGCTATACTAAACCAGACATCTTTGTTTCATCCTCCTTTATCTGCAACTTTTGCTAGTGATGTTTGCTGACTAAGGTCCTCTTTCCTTTCTTTCACAGGCTCGAAAGCATTTAGAAAAGACTCCTTGCAAGAGTCAGGTGTGAGACAAAGCTTGAATACTTTCTGGATAGTTTGTAACTTGGAAGATAAACATTACTTTTAGGGATTATATATTGTATTAAGTTTTCCTTGACTTCTTCCTCAGAGTCCAGAGATAATTGAAGACTTTCTGAAAGCCATGGAGCCATTTAAATTAACAAAGTTTGTATAAATCTTTGTCAAATATCCACTGATGTGTGTTTTATTATCCCTTAAAACCACCAAGATGTTCTATGAAATATTGCCAAAGGTGTCATATATATCTTTGATATATTTAGTTGTTTCCTATGATATTCGATAAAAATATAAACAACTGGGCCCAGTTGTTCAAAGGCGGATTGGCGTTAACCTGAGGTTAAATTTTAATCTGGGTTTCTTTTTCTTTTATTCAAAAGTGATTTCTTGGATAATCTTCTCTATTCTTTTAAGATCATCCTATCATTATATTGTAGACAAAAAGAATTAAACTGAATTTTCTTTAAGCTTTCAAATCTGAATTCAAATTTCGCACTAACCCTGGGTTATCTTAACCCAGCTTTGAACAACTCAGCCCTGGACAAAATAGTTCAGTCCACTGCGTAGTAATGTACAATACCACCACATCTAAAACTTTCTTCCCTGAGGACTACTACTTAATAGACAGGTATTAGCCAGCTACTTTTCATTATTAGACAACAATAATTTATTAAAGAAGCCATTGCAATGGGTGATATAAGTTGGGAAGTTTGGGCAACAGCATCTTGGGAATGAGAATGATGTAATCAGGCGTGGATCTAGGATAAATTCTGATCAATTCTCTAAATGAGCGCTGAAGGTGCAAGCTTCTAGGGGGGTCCGGGAGGGTCCCTAGAGTACCCTTTACTGGGTTTCTGAGTCATTCAGACAGGATATTGGCCAGTTCCATTCTCCTTGGATGAAACCTCGTCCAAACCGTTTTCCAGATGTAAACATGGCAAGTTTTTTTTATTAAAAAATATATCAATCATGAAAAATTGGACCGATTTCTGCAAAATGTTGGAAACAGGTGTGCAGGAGCCGTGCCTGGTAATCTTGCGCGGGAGAGGTCACTCTCTTATATTTTAGAATTGTGTGAAGCTAATATTTCTGATTTTGTCACCTTTAGTAAGATTTTTGTTTTCAGTCAATTTACAGTCACTGTCTTTCAGTTGTTTGAGTCTGCAGTCTACAAAATATGGCATTTAATGTCATACTCCAAATTTCTTGGGCTTTGAAAATTTTATTTGAAATCCCTTTTATTCTGTTTTTAACAGAGCTGAGAAGCTTCAGCTGTTGAACTTGAGGCCAACTACACCAGTGGAAATCCAGCTGGTAATTTGTTAGCATGTTTGTGTTTCTTTATGACTTTTTTAAGTGACTGAGACTTTATTGGCTTCTAGGCTGTCTTTCCTCCCTTTTATGTTTTATAAAGTGGACTTAAATAATTTGTGAGTGTTTTAAAAATGTTGCTTGATTATTATTTGTTAGATTATCGAAGACAGTGAAGAGCGTCTGAAGACTGATCAAGAAATTGAGGAACTTTTGAATGTAATTGCAACAAAGCTTCCTGACATTCATGAAGAAACAATGAACAATAAACATGATGATGAAGATGAAATGTCATCATAAATGTACAAACAAATGTATTAATAATACTGATATAAATCTCAATATGGGTATCATTTTAAACATATGTAAAGACTGTAAACGTTACTTTTCTTTGACTTGTTGTTATTGTCTCGGGCCAGTGTAGACTTATTTTAAATGCGGCTTAATTGACAATAATTTTCATCAATTAAGACACCAAGGGCATAAGTCACATTGTCACCTAGTTAGCTCACAAACATACTGGAAAATGAGATCTCCAGAAAAAGCTGGAACTTTCCTCAAACCATAACCAGAAATTATTGAATTATTTATACCAACCATATAGAATTATTTGTGAACCTCAAATAGAGTTATGTGTTAAATACTGGTTGGACCACTGCCATAATGTTTTTTAAGGTAACAAATGCCCCTTTCAAAAGCTTTAGAGAATCTATATTTTCTTTGGACGAGATACAAATAGAACTTGCAAGGGTAAAATTTTAAACAAAATTTATTATCATATGTGCGGTATTAAAACATCATATTGCATTGCTATGATTGTTCTGATCATCATCATCATTATCATCACCATTACTGAAAGGTTGAGTTTGATCGTCCGGGTGAACGTAGTCCTGAATAGGACTGTTGTTGTTGACAGTGACTGACGTTTCGACAACCTGTGCGGTAGTCGAATTGTCAGTCACTGTCAACAACAACAGTCCTATTCAGGACTACGTTCACCCGGACGATCAAACTCAACCTTTTGAAATGACTCCTGGGTTCAAACCTTTCACAGTATTACCATTACTGTTATTTTGAGCAGTATTTTTGTCATGGATGAAATCAGCTTTTGGGTATGGGAGGGGGGTACAGAACATAAAGATCGGTTCTAGAATATCCTAAGCTAGGATAAGGAAGGAAGGAGGGTAGGAAGGAGAATTTGATCTTTTATTTATTTTGTTTATTTCTCCCTTACTTCTAGTCTGCTACACAGCTGTCTTTAGAGTCGTCACGCAACGCTTCTCCCCCACTACCTTACTCAAAACCTTATTATAGAGGTAGGGAATGAAGTATTTTTGGCATTTGTGGGACCAAACGAACTGTCCGTAATAGAGAGGTGTCCGTATTATAGAGGTGTACCGTATTATAAACTGTACCTTACTCCACCCCGTGTCAAGTCTCAAGTACGCGAGCCGCGCGCGAATTAGCCGATTCCTTTGTCATTTCTCCTCAGCGGTCAGAATGTACTTAGAATTTCCTGATTAAAAAGTTGGTGTGAATGAAAGACAATTTTTAGCTACCATCTGCACTTGTAAAAAGTATACCCGCGCGATTACCACGCACCCGATACGAGTCGAATGATTTTGGTGTTCATCCGCGTGTATTTTTCAATAATAATTCCTCCACAATTGCCACCTGCAAAATATCTTTCTAATAAGCAATAATTTTAAAAGGCGACTGTGTTTGTAAAAAAGTTAACAAAAAATAAACAATGTCAATTAATGTTTGTTAATTTGAGAAAAAGAAAAAGTAGTGGCAGCGGTGGGATTCGAACCCACGCCATCGAAATGACTGGTGCCTAAAACCAGCGCCTTAGACCACTCGGTCACGCTACCGCACATAGTCTAGAATGTTGAAAATACTACTTATAAATAATATACTGGCTGAGTGATGGTAA